GAATTTCAGTCGTAATAAAAAATAAAGGTTTACCCAATGGTAATCTTTCAATTGTTGCTTTGTTAACTTCGCGCATTTATTCGCACATTGTTTATTTGTTCAGATGTTCTATTAGTTATAGGTCTAAGTGATTTCAAATATGTATTTTTTACGACTAGAGTGTATCTAAAATGTTTTTGAGAAAATAAATTGTTTTAGAAGTAAATAGTTTCGTCATGTTTAGTTTATAAAGGCATATTTTGGTACAAATCTTGAACTGGGCCAACTGAAGTGGGAAGAGGCTCGTAGAGATAAAAGGTGAAACTCATAGAGTGGGGGTGACGCCAAAAATGTCGACCACGAAGTAAGTTAGTACACTGCACAGGAAATGCATTTCAGGCTCTGCGCATGTGGCAACTATTTCTGTTGGTGTCATCATGACTGTTAACAATCCAATTTTGACAGTTGGGACAAAATGCAAGCAGACATATTGGATAATATTGTGATATTTAATAAACCACGAAGTAATAAACCTATAAAGCATGGCAAAGTATGAAATGCATATGAAGATTGTGGCAGGTTATGTTGACATTTTTCAATGCGCAAACAGTCTTACGTCATGTTCTACGCCCACTAGATTTGCCAGAGAATTAGCTTCATATAAGTACGTGTATCACTTGACGGTATTACGTAATCTAGGGAGGGCTGGTTGTAAAATATACTCTAGAAGCCTCTGAATGAAGTTGGAAACATGTTAGAATACGCTTTAAGTCACGGTCTTAATGTATGTAAACTTTTGCCTGCCTATTTAGTCGTGATGTATCCGGCATAACTAATCATGATTCCCCATCCTACGAATAGATTTTTGCTCGAAGATTATGTCTGGTGAGAGCGTCGCATACATCAGCAATGTATTGTTGACTATTGGTTCCAGGTTTTTTACATGAGGCGTCCGTTTTTTTACCTTTAGTGAGAAGTCAAAAGAGGATCGTTGGATTGAGATAGAAAGTTGAGACTAAACAGAGTACAAATTAATATGGGTGCCGGAGCTTTATAATTAAAATTAGCATACTTATATTTACATGCAGTCATTCTGGATTTTGCCGTGACGTCATTTGTTTCGATTTGAGATTTGAATACGGTACAATCTTTTGAAATATTTCCTACGAGATTATCAACAAACGGTAACTTGTTAACGCTAATCATCTTACAAAGCCGTAAAATATTTTTTGTTTACAAGCCACTTGGTAATTATATTGCTGACTCATGCTCTAAATTGATAATACAATATTAATACGTATACTGATATGACTAGGCATATAATATAATGGACTATTAGGTGCATTGCCTAATGTTTAATATATGCATGCGATATTGTTATGGGGATAATCATCCGAGTTTTATTGAATAATGATGAGACTTTGTACCACATTTTGCATGTCCTACACAACAGATAATATATTACGTTGCATTATATCAACAAACATTTCAAATAATCCGCACTGATTTTATTAGCCACCAATCTTTAGTGATAATTTGCTGGCTGAAAATACATACGAATATTTGATATAAGGGAATAAAAGAAGCTGTTTTCCATTTGAAATGTATACAGGGTGGCCCAACGAAAAGGCCGCACCCCCATTTGTGACTCTCCTGGTATATTTTAGGAAAAACGCTCGGACACGTCAATTTTAATTTGTTGGGGGACGTCTTTTCATCTATAGTCGTACAATACAGGGTGATCAAAAATAAGATATTGCGTTACACTTTAGGTTTCTAATTGGAAACCCCCATTTTTTCAATTTTTAGATTTTCCATGAAGTTTTCAGTAACTTTTTGTTGTTGTTGTTGTCGTTGAAGATTTATTTAGCATTAATGCTACAATGTCAATTTTGTATAATGATTCGGTTACATATTTTTCTTCATTCTTGTCTACTAAAATAAAAATTACGTCACTATGTATTTTGATTATTCGTAAAGTTTCACTTTAAACATTTTTAAATTCGAACTCTGTTTAATATAATTATTCAATTTATTAAATTCAAATACTCCCTTTTGAAATATAGATTTACTAGTTATGCTACTATTACAATTTTGCAGATGAAAATCTATACTGCCTCTAGTTTCATAGTTATGATAGTTATTTAATTTTGTGAAGTTCTCTAAATGTGGTGGTAATAAATGATTTTTTAATTTGAATATGAAAACGAGAACTAAATAATATATGAAATTTTTCACATTCAACCGCAGCAGTTCTTCTAACATAGACTTAATCCTAGTATATTTGTTTTTATTTAAAATGATTCTCATAGCTGTATTATGTATAATTTGTAATTTTAAAAATATGTTTTCATTTGCTGTAAACAAGATGGTTGAACAATATAAACAATGGGGAAGAATTATAGTGTTATACACATTTTTTTGGACGACTAAGATTATGGGAAACTCTGTAGAAGTAATTTATCTTTTTCGATATTTTTGAAACAATGTATTCATAATGTAACAGTAGCTTACTATCCACATACATAGCAAGATATTTAAATGACTCGACTACTTCAATTTTTTCATCGTTAATCATGAGCCTAATTGTATTGTCACCTAAATGTTTCCCTATTGACATTCATTTTGTATGATTAGTGTTTAATTTCAGTTTATTGACATTTAACCAATTCATAATTTTGTATAACAAAGTTTATACCTATCTTCAATCGTTGTGAAGCTAGAGTTTATAATAAAATTCGACTAACTTGATACTGATAATAATGAAATTCACTGCAAAAAATAATAATCATGGGTACCAGCAAGAGCATTTCAACTTTGTCTTTCATTTCAAATTGTTAAGTTAGTTACCTGCTTGTGATAAATATTGAACAATAACTTATTCAATTCAAGGAAGGGTAGAAATAACAAAACTGTATTACCAAAATGGGAGCATTGCAAGATAAGTGTGTGGCTGAGTTGATAAGAAACTTTGAAGAAACTGAATCTGTGTCTAATATTTGCCGCAATCGCCATCAAAAAATAGACCAGTTATAGTTGTAGTCACCGTTCTAGGTCTTACGTCATCAACGCCATAGGAAATAAGTAAACAGATCCAGTCTCCGTACCATGGGCGGAACACTGCGCAAACTAATCTTCAGCGCATCTGCAACCCTCTCCAGTACGCATGAAGTGGGTAACAGGAGAGCGCTGTTTTCATTTTCTTCCTGGAAACACTTTAATAAATTTAGCACGCCCTTCTCCATTGATCGTATTTCCGGGCATCGTATAATTTTATATTGAAGATTGATAACAGGACAACTCGTATTGCACGCCCATGTCAAGCAAGTTACCACTCTGACAAATATGATTGAAGGGCACTCACATGTAACGACAAAGTTTTCGAGACTGAGACACACAACTAAAAAACGTATGTCTTTGAGCTTACCGAACAAACGTTCACACGCGGAGGTAGGTTGCATGTCTATGTATGGGAGATGGAGATATGTAAAGAGATACTGGTAGTCTTATTTTGACCCACCCAGAACGGTGACTACAACTATAGAAATAGTGTAACGCATCACCTGTAGATGAAAAGACGTCACCCTGAAAATCAAAAATGACGTGTCCCAGCGGTTCTCCCAAAATATATAAATGGGGGTGCGACTTTTTCGTATGCAATTTTGTATGGAATATGACATCGTTCGAATGACCACTTCGCGTCATATCATAGATCCGAGAATTTCAATTTAAAATGATACTGCCTCATAAATTTAGCTAAATTTGATATATGTTATTTTTACAGGCATCGGTATATTACAGCTAGTCCATTAAATATCCGAAATTATATATATATATATATATTGATGAGATCTAGTATGACCTAGATAATGGCGAAACGTTATTTGGACGTCAATGTCGTAAATTCAAACAGCAACCACCATTTTTGACAGCAAATCCGTAATCAGCAGCACGAGATTCTACATAGTAATCCATTTTTACGCACATCAGGTGGTCACAAGTGTTCAAACCAGTATGTCAAGCTGGAATGTCTAAAAAGTACATGAACACTCTAGAAACTTGACAACCATGCATTTTTTCCAGAAAGTAATTTATTGATGACCTTTAATATGACCTAGGTCCTAGGTTATGACCCCAGATGTCATTTGGAGGTCAACTTTGTAAATACAAATAGCAACACCACCATTTTCAGAGCAGATGCGTGATCAGCATGAGATTCTATTTTCCAGCCACCAGGTCATATGTTCATAAATGAACAATTCAGAAGGTCAATAACTGTAGCTGCCGTTGAAAACCTGAATTCCAAATGACCTCTGAGGTCTCAGTCCTAGCAGAGGTTACCAGTCAATCTCCGATTTCTTGACGCCTTTGTAGGAACCTTTTCTCGAAAAAGTGCGTACTTGACAAATTTTTGCATATTTAATAGATAGTAAGACCTCCGAGTTCCAAATATCCGACAACAAAAAATTTAATGGGACAAAACGCACGATCTTGGTGACCAATGCATGCCACTTTTGAGAGAGATCATCCTACTCACAAAACGTTTGTGCATAACATTGATCTGTAGTCATTACTAACATTGTTATAAAACAATGCGGACCAATAATTCTGCCGACCCAAAATTGGCGCCAAACAACATTTGATGGTTGTACCAAGGGAAGAATAATATATCTTCAACAGCTATTGATATAGACTTTTCTCCTAGTCTCAACAATTCTTTATGCTGAAAATGTCTGCTATTTTGGCTGCCAAAATGGCTGCTAACTTCACGCCAGTTTTTGTCAAAACACCACCATCTATGAGACACTAACCTTTTTTAAGTAGATTTCTAACCTGCGGGGCAAAGAGAAACATAGTTGTCACAAATCCTCATAAATCATGCTATGATATCTCATTGCATCTCGGATAATTTTTTGGACACAGGAATATAGTATTAGGTTGGCTATATTTAGGTAGAATACAGTAATCAATAATTCCACAATATTTATCAATGAGAGAAAATTTCAAAATGTTTATTTCCAGTCATTTTTTATATAATAATTGAACATATATTTGGTTATATATAATGAAACACACAATTATACATGCTATGTTCATAGATAGATACTTTAAGATATAAACATCATTGGTATTTTTTTTGGTAGTATTTTTACTGGATCAATAATCATAAAGAGCAAATAGATCCCTTGAATGTAACATTTGTTTTTTATTTTATGAGTCACTATCACACAGTCACTAATTCACTATCATACCACAATACTGTCAAATTTTGAGAAAGCCATGTTATCACAAGGAAGTTTTTATCTCTTTTTGCTTAGTTATCATCTGATGAAAATGCTATTTTGTTAGTGTTTTTCCTTTTTTTTAACAATTATAAAGCCTTAAAATATAAAATTTGTGCATATCAATAAAATATTGCTGGACAAAATGACACAAACTAAATAAGATAGTAGAATAACAGATTCCAAATCTGGAACCAAAAATCAACAGAATATTGATATATCATCTGACCATTACCAAGCATTACCAATACTTTTCCAAATTCTTAACCAAATCCTTGGGACTAGTACTAGGCCCATGTCTCTCCACTGGCTGTCCATCTTTGTCAACAATGAACTTTGTGAAGTTCCATTTGATGAAATCTCCCAAGGTACCACCTTGCTTGTGTTTCAAGTACTTCCATAATGGATGGGCATCGCTACCATTCACATTTACTTTTTCAAACATGTCAAATTTCACATTCTTTGATGACACAAATTGACAGATTTCTTCACTAGTACCTGGCTCTTCATTTGCAAATTGGTTACATGGAAATGCTGGAATAAGTTTTTAATTATACAGGGTGTCTCAAAATATCAGGGTAATTTTTGGGAATCTTATTAGATAACATAAAAAATAATATCACAGATTTCCGGTCAAAGAGTCCTAAGGAATTCCTATAATAGGTTTCTGGAGGGTGCTACTTGAAACTGAATCTATTAAATGACCTTTCGATTTGCAGTGACTTCTTTGAGGTGTCCACATCTCTGTAGGGAAAGCCCACTGGGGAATTTTCTTATACGATCTTCTCTTGTTCTACATGAACTTGCGGGATTCCCAAGGTTCACTCTATCCAGTTGGCGGATGTAGTTTTTCAGCAGTTTTATTATAGCATCCAGAGTAAAACAAACCTTTTATCATTTTTTTTTTCACAATCCCATATTTCACAGCTAGTTCAAATAAAATCCATGTACAGCAAACAAAGAAAAACAATTTTCAGATTACTATTTTATTTGAATTGCCATGAAACCATGCAGGATATTGCAAACATAAATTCAACAATTATATTAACTCACCTAGTATTCTGAGGCCTTTGCTCTCCGCATACTGATCATATAACTCTCCCAATTCAGCATAGTGGTTTTTCGTGTATCCACACTGCGAAGCTACGTTGACGATGATGCAGACATGTCCCCTGTATTTCTCCAAAGACACCTCGTTGCCTTTGATGTCCCTGCAGGTAAACTCGTAGATGGACTTTGCGTTTTTATAGTTTTCCGGATTCGACATCTTGGCAGCAGCTATAGCCAGACCGCGACAAACGGTATATTTACACGAATTGAGTACTCTCCTACTTACGAACACCATTTATATTGCATGATAATAATATTTACAAATTTTTATATGCTTACTCACGCAGTAGAGACAGTTATTTCTGTTATTTAGGGTTATTATACCACAATTATCCTGTGATTGAAGTGGGATGACAAACACAGGCAATAGACAACAAAGTGTGAGGTTATACTCACAAAACATGTACATGTATATACACAGAACATGTTAGACCAGTGTTGCCCAATCGAAAAACACAAAATAGGTAGATAGGTGGTTTGTTCTGACAATCAGCAAACTGATAGTCGGCGACAAGTCATGACCTAAATCAAATCCAAGCGAATAACCAAAATTTCTGTGTTATTTGCCGCGGTTATAAGATGGTTCAAGATGACACCCGGGTTGATGACGTCAGACGTCAGTTACACGAATCGCTTGAACGCGTTGGTTTTAATCGCGGTTTTGTTGCAAGTTGTTTATTTTAGAAAAGCGCGTCTATAATCTCTGATTATTTTTATTATCACTTAATAATCGGTGCTTTTTCGTCTACAACTGTGTATGGAAAGTTTAAATAAGAAACCTTTCATAATATTCATGGGAGAAATGTTTTTTTCAGATTTTTTTTAATGATGGAACCATGGCTTATTTGTAGTTATGATAACTTTCAATTCTCTAAATTTTTCCGCATGTCAAAGAAAACATTTATTGATTCAGCAGAAATGATGAAAAAAGAAACCAGCAAAACCGTATAGGTGGATATCATCTAGTGAGTTTATATGGCCATATTTTAATAGTCTTGTGGTATATGGCTACACATGATACTTTGTTAAGCATAGGACTACATTTAAAGTGTCCCCAACAACCGTAATGAGTATAACTAATAAGGTGCTCCACTTTATGGTAAAACTGAAGTCAGCCTGTATCAATTTTCTCAAAAATGAAGCTGAAGTACAATAACAATATCCAATACCCGGCAAAATTCTAACTTGTCACGTTTCAAATAATAACCAGAAATATAAAACTACTCTTGAGTTGGGTAAATACCACAATTTTGCGGTGATAACTATGACATATAACAGCTGATTCGTGACGTCACGGATCTTATAACCAAACTGATAACTACACTCGCTTGAACGGATCGGTAAATACCAACCCAAAATGGTAAATACCATTTCCATTTGGTTATCCGCTTGAATTTGATTCTAGTTTACGCAGTTAGCTGTCACTGACACGTCGCCAACGACACGTCGCTGACTGATTGATTGCGTAAATGAGAACGTTACGAGTTGTCTAAGAGAGATAAGACCGATTACCGACAAGTAATCCACTGTTTAATCAAATTCAAGCGGATAACCAAATGGAAATGGTATTTACCATTTTGGGTTGGTATTTACCAATCCGTTCAAGCGAGTGTAGTTATCAGTTTGGTTATAAGATCCGTGACGTCACGAATCAGCTGTTATATGTCATAGTTATCACCGCAAAATTGTGGTATTTACCCAACTCAAGAGTAGTTTTATATTTCTGGTTATTATTTGAAATGTGACAAGTTAGAATTTTGCCGGGTATTGGATATTGTTACTGTACTTCAGCTTCATTTTTGAGAAAATTGATACAGGCTGACTTCAGTTTTACCATAAAGTGGAGCACCTTATTAGTAATACTCATTACGGTTGTTGGGGACACTTTAAATGTAGTTCCTATGCTTAACAAAGTATCCTGTGTAGCCATATACAAGAATATTAAAATATGGAGATATAAACTCACTAGATGATATCCACCTGTATACGGTTTTGCTAATTTCTTTTTTCAAAATTTCTGCTGAATCAATAAATGTTTTCTTTGACATTCGGAAAAATTTAGAGAATTGAAAGTTATCATAGCTACAAAGCCATGGTTCCATCATTAAAAATAAATCTGAAAAAAACATTTCTCCCATGAATATTATGAAAGGTTTCTTATTTAAACTTTCCATATGCAGTTGTAGACGAAAAAGCACCGACTATTAAGTGATAATAAAAATAATCAGAGATTATATACGCGCTTTTCTAAAATACACAACCTGCAACAAAACCGCGGTTAAAACCAACGCGTTCAAGCGATTCGTGTAACTGACGTCATCAACCCGTGTGTCATCTTGAACCATATTATAACCGCGGCACATAACACAGAAATTTTGGTTATTCGCTTGGATTTGATTTTTGTACAGAAACTTCTGACTTTGTTGACAGTCAAGATGCCAGTGATTTGTCAGAGCTCGAAATTAAGTACAATTACAATCATTATTCGAATATAAAATTTTTCAGAATGAGGGGTGAAAATAATATTTTCCATATACAGGGTATTTTAAATTCGTCCCAAACCATATTGGGATCTTGGAAACTTTAAGGATATGAAGTCGCTTAAATAGGGGCAGTAGTTGCGAATTGAGATAATCAGCAAAATGTCGCTTATAAAGTTTTGAAATTAAAAGTATTTCCGGAAAGAAACGTAAAAAACGAAATTTCCCAAAATGATTTTAATTTTCTCCTGACTTTATGGTGGGATTTCAAAATAAATTGCTCATCAACTCTGCCACATTTTCTCCTCTATAATACGGCCCAATTAGAATTTCAATATGACGTTTCGTCTCTTGTCCTCCAGCAATTTTTTCGTATAGACGTAATATTAGATTCTTACACACATGAATAGAATATTTATTCTGATTTCAAAAATGTATACATTGACATTGCAAAACCTTAGTAATTCCAGAAGTTCCTAGGTAGGCCTCGAAATTATCAGATTTCATTTGTTTCATTCTCTTAAATTATCAGATTTCATTGTTCAGTTTGGAAGACTGTGAATACGTCTGCTTATTCATGGTTAATTACTGTTATTAGCATCAATAATTTCGTATTCAGGTTTCACCATATCTTTATATATATATTATAATTTTCATCTAACAAGAAATTCATGGTCAACTAACGCATCACTGAATTTAGGGCTGAAAAGTCCATTTAAATGTACAAAATTCCAATATCGTGTCCGTATGAAAAAACAAAATTGATGATGTCGAATGAAGAAATGTCGAATTGAAAATTTGACTACTTCATCTTGTAGACGAGAATAAGTAACAATGAAAATATGCAATTTATTTTAAAATCCCATGTCACATAAAATCAGGAAAAAATAGAGCGACTTTGGGATAAATTTGGTGAGTGAAACAAACATCTGATAATTATTTCAAGGCCTACCTACTTTTTTTTTTGAAGTAACTAAGGTTTGGCAACGCCAATGAATTTTTTAATCATAATTAAAATTCTATTCATCTGTGCAAAAATGCAATATTGCGTCCTTAAGAAATAATAAAGATGATGCCTAAGGGCAAGAGACGAACCGTCATATAGGAATTCTGATTATGCCTTCTTGTAGAGGGGAAAACGTGGCACTGTTAATGTGCAATTTATTTTAAAACACCAATATAAATAAAGTCAGGAAAAAATCAAAAGAATTTTGGGAAAATACAGTTTTTCCCTCACTCTCCGGAAGTATGTACTCTGAATTTCGAAACTTTCTGTCATTTATTAACTACCCCATTTAAGAGACTTCGTTTCCCGGACAGTTTCCAAGATCCCAATGTTGAGTGCCAAGTTAGAAACACCCTGTATATGCAGCCTCTCATTAGAAGAAAGAAGTAAAGGATTTAATAACGTCTTTGAATAATAAAGGGTGTTATACACTAAAAAGCTAAAACAGCTGAACATAACTACAAATGTCAAGATCTGCTTACATAGCTATAAGTTTTACAGAGTTCTCAACATGGACAAAAAGAACTATGATTAAGAAAATACATAGAAGTAAGACTTATATCGAGTAATTTCGCATTTTGTAATTGTTACCAAAATTTTCAAAAGATTAGTGATCACAAAAATCGTATTAATTATGGTTCTTGAAAGTTATGTCGTCTATTGTTCTGACTTTTCATAGTGTATTCATAATCTTCATTTTGCCATTACCGGGTCAATAAACAAAATATCGAGCGCAAAGCACTGGCTGATATTCAAAATGGAATTTCATTGAAATTTCTTCTGCCACTTGCTCACCCGAAAATGTTACAAAAACTTGTTTCTGTTGAATTGTGGCACTGTTTACTTTAAAAAATTCAGGTTTTTGGGTTTCATTCTCTCCTCAGTAGATCTTCAAAGTCTTCATCTTCTTTTTATATCGCTCAGTTTTTTTACACCGAAGCAGCCGCGCAGGTGAACGCTACATGCCAGGACACCGCGGCTGCTTTGAGGAGCTTAAGGAAACTTTGTTATTCCTATTTTTGAACTGCCTAAAGTTATTAGAACTGGGAAAAGCTCCTCATGTAGATTGTTACACGATCTCGACACACTCGTGACAAAGGAGCGGTCTTATCGGCAAGTTCTAGATGTACGAAGTTCGACACGGTTACGATGGGAGGCCGAAGTCAGGCAGGCACATCGCGCGGCGACACCATGGAAGAGAGCCTGAGGAGCAAAGCCCGTTGGCGTAGCTAGATCGCCAACGGCCCGTACAGATATTCCGACACACTCTGATACCTGTCACTGTCACTGGTTGACTGTTGTCCTCTGATCTGTCAGAAGGTTCTGCACGAACAGCGGATTAGCTGTCGGCAAATAGTCAGAAACTCTACGAACAGGTAACATCTCATCATCCTGATGACATTCGTAGGGCTACAAATCTTGTCCATGAAGTGAGAAACGCACTGCACGAACTCCGCAACGAGCAATGGAGCGACTTTCTGGCGGGAATGCTTGATTCAAGTATTCCTCTCTGGAGGGTCGCAAAGTCACTCAGAAACGGAAAGCGAGAACAACTCCCACACATCCACGGTCCTGAAGGCATAGTCTTCAGAACGGAGGATAAGGTCGAGGTTTTCGCTGATGCCATGGAAAAACAGTTCTCTCCCAACTATGATCTCGATAATGACCTCGACGAGGAACAGCACATCGTACGATCCGTCAGGAGATATTTTAGGGCCAACGGCGTTAGCGGAGGCACTGAATCCTCTTCAGATGACTCTTCTTCAGAAGATTCGTCCGAGGCTCCACATAGCACATTAGCGGAACCCTCCGAGTTTCCACATTGCACACCAGCGGAGTTACTAAGTTATATTAAAGACCTCAAGGTGCGTAAAGCACCTGGGGAGGATCAAATCACCAACAAGGCGTTGAAGCTGCTCTCGCCGAAAGCCCTGACATACTTGGTGACAATAATCAATGCAACGCTCAAAATCCAGTACTTCCCTGCTGGGTGGAAGACTGCTGAGGTTATCATGATTCCAAAGAAGGTGGGTTCGATATTTCCTCAGGATTACCGTCCCATATCAACTAATCTAAAATTACTGAAATCCTTTCTTGAAGGAAGGAAGTTTCGGGTCAAAATTAACAATGTTTTGTCAACAACACGGCGAGTACGTTCCGGTGTTCCTCAGGGTTCGGTCCTAGGACCAATTCTTTATTCGCTTTTCATCCATGATGTCCCTTCCCCCAGCAACTGTGAAGTCTACCTCTATGCTGACGACACTGCACTTGTCGCCCAGTCGTGTACTTGTGATCTGGTTCACGATGGGTTGCAGAATGCGGTGTACGAAGTTCTAGAGTGGGCGGAACGGTGGCTGATAAAAATTAATCATTCGAAAACGCAGGCTATTTATTGTACCAAAAAACGTCGCGGCCCCCCAGCAGAGGTTTCTGTAGACGGAAATCGAGTATCATGGACAAATTCTGCCAAGTATCTCGGTGTCACCCTTGATAAAGGCATGACCTGGCAGAAACATACAGCATCCATAAAAACAAAATTCCAAATTGCGTTTCGGCAACTATATCCTTTGTTATGTAGATCCTCCAAATTGAGTTTGATAAACAAAGTTCGACTATATAAAATGATTATTAGACCAGCCATTACTTATGCATGTGCGGCTTGGTGTTTTCTTGCCAAGACACGCATGCAAAGTCTTCAAGTACTGCAAAGCAGAACTTTGCGGACAATTTGCAACGCTCCATGGTATGTCTCAAATGAGACACTACACAGAGACCTTGACATTCCTTACTTGAGGGATTATGTCAAGCTTCAGGCGCAGCGACGTTATAGTCAAGCGGAATCGCACAGCAACCCTCTGTTGCGTGACTCAGTGGACTACACAGTGGAGCAAGTTCGTAAACATTCAAGGCCACGGCTCGCACTGTAATCAAAAGTTAGCGTGAATCTTTAGTAAACTCAAAATTACGCTCTAACAAAACCGAATAAAAAATTTGTTTAGTTCACCTCAAAATTAATCCGTGTACCAAGTCAAAAAGCCTAGGTGTTTCCTCTTAAACTAAGCATATCTGTTTTTCTTTGTTCTTCTCCTTTTTTCTTCTCTTTCCTTTTCTCTTTTTCCTTGACTTTGTCTGGTTTCTGGGCAAACAGGACTGACAGATTCGACTAACGTACATCAGACAGTGACTAATGGACAAAGATCCTACGGACCGCCCAGACAAATAAATGACGAATAGTATACGTAACATCTCTCTGATTCTGATTTTGACAGTCACCGAGAAGTTACCGACCACTGTATGAACAAACCAATGATCATTGGAATTCGGTAAATTCAAGAACGAAATCGGTAGGAGAAAAAAGTATTTGTCGTCCAAGATCAGCAGTGGATCAAGGGCGTTTGCGTCACGCAGCGTCGTCTATGAAAAAACATTTTTTTTGAGCATCTTTTCTTAACAATAAAAATAACTTATTTATCAAAATTTGTACAATGAGCATACTAGTTGCTCTTCAAACTTCTTGGCATTCATCCTGGAAACTTCTTTTGTCTTTATAAGATGTGTATATTTTTCTATTTTACCCCTGAACTTGAAACCCCATCATCGGACATTATGATTTAATAATTAAAAACACACTAGCTTTGGTTTTCTTATCGCTTGTCCGGTGATGAGGTAATGAGAGTGATCTAACAGTCGGTACCTATTGTACGCCCAAAACCTACAGGGAATGCGGAGTAAGGGATGTAGCCAAATCTACGTCCCTCGTATGCCCGACTGTGTACGCTATAGAATTCATTTTTTCAGTTTTATTTTTGGTTCTAGATCTTTTTCGGTGAAAAATCTGTAACTATCTGGATTATTATAAAAAAATCTTGAATTGTCTTATTTCGGTAGAAATACAGTGAAATTGGTAGGTTCGGCAACAATTAAATATTTGACGTCGTCATGACATTAGTTCTAATCTTCTAATGCTCACTTGTCATCATTGGTATAGTGATGAGAGGTAACTTCATCTCCAGTGATTTATTCACAGTTTTAGAAATATTTATGTTCCTAGTGTGGAGTGGTTTAGGCCCGTATCGTCAGTCGTTCCTACAATTGTAGGGCGCCTTTATGGCCTCCTTAATTGTCATAGTTTTCTACTTCTCCGTGTCAGAACTCTATTTTGAGGTTATGTCACAAACATCTATTTGCATCAAATTGTGCTTGCTTTCGAGTTATATCATGTTTTATCAGCCTGAAATTTCCTACAATTTAAAAAGAAGACATATCTTTACAATAGGAGAGCGCTGACGCTGACACGGGACAAGTGTAATCTAGAAATTTTTGAAGGAGAGAAAGAAGTATGACAATTAAGGAGGCCATAAACGCGCCCTACAATTGTAGGGACGACTGACGATACGAGCCTTACTAATGTGGGGTTGTTTTCATCATCAGGGGCAAATAGCTTTTTCATATTATTTTTTTAAAGAATGATGCACAAATCAGATTTTCATTTGTTTGCTGATGTGTTGGAAACATGTCGTACAATGCGGATCCCACACGATGCTTCCAACGTCCGACACCCCACAATGGGCAAGTGTGTCTCCCCTCTCCTGCACGCTGGGATGAACTTTTTAGTACGTAGGACGTTCGACGCATGGTGGTGCCAACGTCTATTACCGGTGTCAGTGCCGCGCTTGAACCTTTACAACTGAAGGAAAAATTATACCAAATAAACGAGGAAACATTTTTTTTGTGCGCCGAAAAATAATTTCAGGTCTGTCTTCGGCGACCAAAACTTAAGTCTGTCAGAAGGATCAAAAATGTCGAAAAACGAAGTTTGACCGTTTTTTGTTTGTTTTTCGACGATAGCTCCACCGCCACTGTACCGATTTTCAAAAACTGCAGAGCTTTTTCCTCATTTTCATAGTAGTAACCTAGGGTCAAAATTACATCAAAATCCTGATAGTACTTTTAGAGTTGTCATTTATTTAATCTTTTTCGTTAGTTATGAAATGGAATCAATATATTTCTCAACTAGTCTTGCATTGCTACAGGACATTATAATGAAACAACTGTAAGCACTTGATAATTTATAATTTACTAAAATACATGGATAGGCCAGCCATAACTCACCTGCGAAACGTACAAAATATTAGCAAATATGAAAAAAGTCTTGTTATGGCAGCCTATGCCTTGTATCACGATACACATGCACTGAAGGTAGGATGTTACGCATGTGGGCGGAGCTTCTTGACGTCACCCAGAGAGTTGTCGGCTCGTGGTTACTAGTGGTAGGATTGCATTCGACAAACCGCATCATTAACGAATAAACTGAATGCACCTGAAGTATCAGCTGATTATATCGAGGAAGAAATAGATGAGCTCGATTATGAAGGGCTGCCAAATTTGGCCGGCTTTCTTTGCCATGAATTGCAGAACGAGGGGTTGAAAAGTTCCTCAAATGAAACTTATTCCTGGATAGACCATCTTAGTGAGAGTGGATTATCAAAACCTTCCACAGCTTTCATGAATCAAATTGAGAAGCTTAATAAGGTTTTTACTACATTCAATGAGGACAGAAAGGCAAAATTTTATAGGCGAACTTCTGTTGAAGAGCAGCAACATTGACTGCCCTGAAAAAGCTAAGAAACTATTTTTCAGGTCAAGGATGTTCTTCCGGATCAAAGAACTGACTAAAAGTTTGAAAGGCCTGTAAGATCGTAAAAGGAAATGAAGAACAATTGTGGCTTAGACTAAGTCATTTTCATTTATTGTTATACCGCCAGCTTACTGCAAAAAGATGATAACTCCATTTTTCTACTTAACGAGTTGCGTACATTTTCACACTTGCATGTAGCTAGTACTTAGGATGTTCTGTGAAATAAGGATGAATAAATGTAGTGCAGTATTAAAGTCATGAGCCTGTTAATCCAGAACATACTAAAATAAAGATAGAAATGTAGAAAAATCTTGTTTTTACAGTAAAGTGACGATACACGCTCTATTGTGCAGCTAGAAAGCCGTTTAAGCTATAGCCTGTGAGATAGGAATTACAAGGTTGAAATCTTTTATTTAAATCCGCCATTTTATTTTGTATAAAAGCGTCACTCGCAGCGCTAAGACGAATCCAACGACACCTTATATGTGAAAATCCGTCCAGCCGTTTGGCCTGTAGGTGAAAATATCCACGTTATCCATATCAATCTAAATGAGTCACTTTCTACGTGACGTGAATGCGCGCCGGCGCACGAGTATCGAACAGCGAAGCATCCGGCACTGGCGTTGCACGTATACTAATTTAATCTATTCTCCTTAAAAGTTAGTTACGGAACATACATTATTATTAATAGAATCGAAATACAATCACAACAAACAAATAAATAACGTTTGTCGCCGCTACTTGTAAAAAAATCTGGTGTAGCAGAAAAATCTTCTCTATGTAACATATATTTTTCTTGTAACTTTTTTGTTTTGTTTGAATATTTCGCAACAAAATCAACATCCCTGTTGTTATGATGATGATAAAATTTCAGAAATACACATTTAATAATATCAAAAGTATACGTATTTGATAAACATTTATTTTAATGAAGTACCAAAATCTTACATGAAGACAAAACAATATTTGAACTGAAAAAACAATACTATAAGAGAAATGATACTACTTACCTAAATATGCATTTATATAAATAAAACTATAAATAATAAACAATGTGTCAAACATGTGTATGCTTTTGTAACTCAAATTAACACTGCATAAGGTAATATTAATTAAAAATGCTGAAAACAAACTATGAATGTCTTAAATGAAACTCATGAATGATAGAAAAATAATATAATTTCTCAAAACTACCAGAAGTTTTCAAGAAACTCTACCATTTGCAATGGTTTAACAGTTGGCTTATGTCTTTCAACAACTTTACCCTCCTTATCAACTATGAACTTAGTAAAGTTCCACTCGATGTCATTGCCTTTAGGACCAGCAATCTTTGATTTCAAATACTGCCATAGTGGATGAGCATTTTTCCCATTGACCTCAATCTTCTCGAACATGTCAAACTTCACATTTCTCTTGGTTACAAATTCCAATATCTTTTGAGAATCACCAGGTTCCTGCTTGCCAAACTGATTGCAAGGAAAGGCAAGTATCCTGAGACCCTTTTCCTCTGAATACTTGTCATAGAGTTCCACAAACTGCTCATAGTTGCTTTTGGTGTGGCCACATTTGGATGCAACATTAACTATGATACAGACATTGCCTTTGTACTTTTCCAAAGACACATCCTCGCCATTGATATCCTTCACAGTGAATTCATAAATTGAGTTGGCAATAATTTCATCAGGTTCTTCAGACTGTTCTGAGTCGGTTTCTTTAGCTGGCTTTGTTTTACCTGCAAGCTTTTTCTTTTTCTCAGGAACAGTGTTTTCTGCGCCATTCACTGTTTCCTCTGGTTCTTCAGATTGTTCTGAGTCAGTTTCTTTAGCTGGCTTCATTCTTCCAGCAGGCTTTTTCTTTTTCTCAGGGAAAGAGTTTTCTGCACCATTCGCTATTTCCTCTGGTTCTTCAGATTGTTCTGAGTCAGTTTCTTTAGCTGGCCTCGTTCTTCCAGCAAGCTTTTTCTTTTTCTCAGGAACAGGGTTTTCTGCATCATTCAGTGATTCCACTGGTTCTTCTAATTGTTCTGTCTTAGCTTGTTTCACTGCCTTAGGTCTCCCTTCAGACTTTTTCTTCTCAGGTTCTTCAGCAGCATCATCTTCATTCTGTGCCTTTTTTCCTTTCCCAGCCTTTCCTTTAGCTGTTTTCTTGCCTTTCTTTGCAGTTGGTTTTGAGTCACCATTCATCTCATCATCTTGAGGCTCTTCAGCAGCATCTTTCTCTTCCTCTTCATCAGAATCTTTGGCCTTCTTGCTTGGAGGCTCAGAATCGTCAGCCTTTGCTTTTCCTTTGGCAGCTTTCTTCTTTTCAGCAGATTTTTTACTTTCTTTTGCTTTCTTCTCTTCCTTTTTCTTTTCTTTGATCAAGTTGCCATCTTCATCTTCATTATGTGCATAATCTTTGTGTAATTTGGCAGCTCTAGATGGAACCTCCCTTGTCTTCTGGGGAGCCTCTTCTGTTTTGCCTTTCCGAGCTGGAGGAAAATATTTGTGTCAGTGGTTCAGCTAATCATAATGGAATGTTTGTTTACTATTAGGACAACCCCCATTCTAGTTCTTTTCTTTATCGCGTGATTCTCCATGGTAGCTCACCCCCATAACTTTATTATCGCAGATAGAAAAACGAAATTTTTGGATTGCATATTATGGATGAATTCACTTGTTTGGCGTACTTCCGGTTTGACCGGAAACAACTCCAACTTTCGGTTTTTAAATCGGACACCCTATATATTTTCACTTATTTCGATCGAGAATGACATGCTGAACTCAACAACGCCTAAGTTGTCGACATTTAACAAATAATAAAGGCATTTTTATTTTTTGAGCCAGAAGGTCATGGATCCTGTAAATCCCTTCAGTTTTGATCAAGTAATACGGTAAAAATACGTTTTTGGGGCGAATGACCTTACAGACATTATACAGATTTCCTAGAGGTTACAAACAGTAATTTTTTCAGTTTACTTGATTTGTTCAAATAGAAAGGAGATGGCACGTTGGGTTTTTCTAAGATACCATTTTCTTACATATAATTTGACACTAAACACTCTTATTTTATTTTCACTATTTTTCTGAATAATTGTAAGAAACGATCATGCCTAACAACAAACAATACTTATCTCTATCTGTATTCGGTATACATAATGGACCTACTCAATGGCCTCTAAGGTACATCCCTAAGTTGTCATATTTTTTTAGAACGTCTGATTTATTGTTCTTATTTTAGATCACCAGATCTTACTCGTAGATTTTTTCTTTGAGCGACAATTAAAAATTATTTGTATAAACGCAGAAATAAAGTTCTACTTTGCCGTAATCAAGGAGGAGGCCATTTTGTATACTTAGAACCTTAATGGCACGTATTTGAATTTTATATGTATTTTGTTATAATAGTGATATGTATTTAATTCATTTTTATAGTTTACTCCAATATAGGCCTATTTCTCTTTCTTCACTGACAATAAAGTTATTCCCATTTAAATCTGGTTTGTTGCACATTCTGTGTTTCAAAATCAAGACCTTCAATTGATTGTTACAGATAACTAGAATAACAGGACTTAGTGCATAGGTATATTGAATGCAGATGATACATAGTATTAATTGTTAGGTATGATTGTTTCTTACAATTATTCAGAAAATAAAATAAGAGTGTGTAGTGACAAATTTAAGAAAATGGTCTCTTAGAAAAAGTCAATGAGCCATGCCCTTTCTATTTGAATTAAGTCAAGTGAGCTGAAGGAATTAGTGTTTGTAAATTTCAGAAAATATTTAAAATGCCTCAAAATCGTATTTTTCCCATGTTACTTGACTTTATTAATTTGTCAAATATTGACAAGTGAGGCATTGCCGAGTTCAGAATGTCATTCTTGTTGAAGTAAGTAAAAATATACAGGGTGTCCATTTAAAAATAGAATGTTGGAGTCGTTTCCAGTCAAACTGGAAGTACCTACCTCAAATCAAGTGAATATGTTGAAAAATGTAAATTCATCATGGAATAAACAACCCCTAAATTTCGTTTTTCTAGCGTCTATAATAAAAAAGTTATAGGGGTGAGCCACCTTGGAGAATCACCTGGTATTTTGACCATAGGAGACTTGTGTTATTACTTGCATCTTTTGAAACTTCTAGTTGCCTCATTTTCTTTACTTTGATTCACCAATCCATACTATTCATTTTTTCACAACATATTTCTCTTAAAAAATTACAGAGAAAGTCTCTAAAGTAACACTGTTGCATTTTTCTGCTTAGTGATAATTTATAGTTTTCATAATGTAAAATTTCTTCAATACTCCTAATATTTTAATAATAATAATCTTTATTCAAGTCATTTGATCATCCAGTGGATAAATCACACAATATTTGTCAGGAGATAAAGGATGATAAACTGCATACTTCAAAATATGAATATTCTTTATTCTGTTTGATCATTTTTTAGTGGATTCTGGTATATTCTCTTCAAGATCGTATATTTTTAAGAAAAAATGGTAAACCCTTTCTCTTTGAGGATGCCAACAGAGATAGATGTAAGTTCATTCAAAAACCGGTATATGTGGAAATGTTGGTAAAAATACAGTGACCCACAGACTTATTCATCTCATTAAAATGTTTGTGAACATGTAGGTTTTATATTTTTAATTTAATCTTAAAATATTGCTGTAGAACTTCAACTATGACATCCAGTAACATGCAACCAACTCCATTTTAGAAAAAACAGAGTGTACAGATTATAGAATATTTTATGCACTTTCCAGTGCTATTAAAGTGATTGATTCTTAAATTTCAAGCTATACTTTGAGTGTAAGTTATCAACTCGACACAAATGGTTGTGGGAATGTAAATAGAGAAAATGCATCCATAACGTAAACAACTGGTCCATAAATATTAATGTGTTGTGGTGTGTTGTCATATCAAATAACATCATTACTTCAGAAAATGGCCCCAACGTAGTTAAATAACTAGTCCAACCAAAATTATAGTCTGGCAGTTCCCTTACCTAGCTTTGCTTTCTTTTCTGCTACAGTTCCATTTGTCTGAACGTCTTCCTTTGTGCCGTTTTCGACTTCCACAGCGGTCGTCCCTTTTCTTTTTGTTGGCGGCATTTCTGTTTCTGGACTTCTAGCTTAAATTTTTGATACAAAACAGATTTTCAGTTTTCACAGGACAACGCCCACAACCAATACACAAGCTGTGTGGCTAAGCCGTGTAGAAAACGGGAAATGGCGAAAGTTTTGTATCAACAAGATGTAAGAAACGCCGGCTACGCGGCTACGGACTAGTTCACACGTTCACAGTTTATTGGCGGCAAATATGCCCCGAATACCATCACCGTTATTATATCACACCTGTTTGGAACGGAGTACATATCGGAACAAAGTATATCCATGTAGTTGGAAATTCCACCAGTCAAATAACTCAATGTACAATCACGTGATACACGTATGAGCCACGATTTGTTCCATTAGAACTGGCTTATTTATAGGAACATTTGTTCGATTAAAATAAAATGTAATTAGCCCAACCTTTACCTCGTTGCCAAATTTACTATTTATTAGTACTTTAGGCACAACAAATAGCATTCGAAGTTTTAGACAAGTCGCAATTTTATTTCTTTAATCATGAAGAGCCCGATGCTTAAAGGCTTTTTCATGAGTATCCATTAAGGTAGAATAACAGCTGATTATCTAGTATTATTTCAAAATTCCCCATATCAACAGATAATACTCAATTCTGACGGATCCGTCAACGCCAGGAAGACAGAGCTGAATATTGTTTTTGATACGCTAGAAATTAATTTATTTTACACAGTTCATTTACATACTGCGAGCAAGTTTTACTAGATTTAGATCTTTTTCATCAATGAAATGCAGCAGTATTTTGGATTATGATCAAATCTTGTGAGCCACTGCCTTGATTTTTACTATAATACTAGACAGAGTTGATTTGGTTATCATAGTGGATGTTATCCTTTCCATAAAATTAGCACAAACAAATTGTCTGACAAATATGAGTAGGAAATCCCACATGCATTACAGAATAAGCATTGGAAGCAACTCATCTGTAGGCGGTAGACAGTCTGACTGTCTAACGCGGAGGTACTACCCAGCGGATCTCCAATGTGGGACCAGACTGTGTGCATGCACACGTGTTCCCTCACTGTAGTCCGTGTGGCGTCCCCTCTTTCCCATGTATCCCCCTATAGCCACATGGTACCCATAGATGTGTTTAGGCCTTAGGCAATCGTGATAGTTTAAGAATAAAAAACATTGTTCAGTAGTATTTCTTAACTGTTTTTCCATTTTGTTTCTCTAAAATCAATGAGATTGAACCATAGGTATGGCAACACTGTAAGGTATCTTGGAACAAATAAGAAATGCAACTAGTAACAATGGTTGTCTATTTTGGGAAATAAGTAAACTGGTTTCCAGAGACATTTGAATTTGATTTGAAATGTTCAAGTTACACTAGAATGTGTTAACATGATTTTTTTAATTACAGGACGATTCAGATAACATATAAGGGGTCGGCAACCTACATGGGTTTAGAAGCTTTACGGTTCGGTCTGAGCGAAAATGTTTTCAGATCTGAGAATCCTGAGCACGATTGCTACTGCACTAAACTGATGTCCGACGAAACTGGAAAGAAGAGTTGCTTTTTGGACGGAACGTTGGATGTTCAAAGCTGTCTAGGTATGTAGTTCAACTTGTTCTACAATAATATTCACTTCTTTCAGACAAAAAATATAAAATCAGGGAATAGCATACAGGGAAAACCAAATTTGTCTGATATTTTGTTTTAATTTTGATTAGAATTATTTATTTCAATTGTGTTTTATTTCAGAATTATCGTTGATTTCCACCGATTGTGATAAAATCAACACATCCTGATTTATTGTTACATTTGCAACAAATACCATTGCGCAATACAAATTATCACTGCCTCCGTGTAGGTTCGCAGGTGAAAAGCATTTCGAAGCAGAACGACACTCCGCAATGAGCGCTAGATTGGTACTGACAAAAATCGCTCATCTATTATGCACTTTGCACCTTGCCTTTTAATGTACGAGATGCGGTGTTGCCAAGCGACCCAATGATGCAATGTGAATGCAGAATTTGTGGCGATCCTGGCCTTTCATTTCGACCTAAAATTGAGCGCCGTTAGGACCGATCCTCGGAATTGGTCCTAAACAGATGGTGTAACATATTGGCGACGCGACAGATTGCCAGTCAGCGTTGTTAGGCAACGCGGTGATGAGGTTCGCTATCCAGCCGGCTTCTATCTCTTTCTAACATATGTGTCTATACACACCTGTCTCGCACAAATTAAACTCAAGTTGACAGATGAATTTGGTTAAATTAGGCTTCATTTTTGTTCGAATTTCTGTAACCTCGAATGAGAGAAGCTCCCGCGCAATTCTAAAACTTCTTTTAACTCCCTCTATCACCCATTTAAATAATGACTATCAGAACGTTTATATTTCAACAAATACCGTCGGACGCCGCGAAAGAGACACCTGAAGTCTATTAAAGCCTCCATCAATCCACGTCAAAACAAAGATATGTTTATCGTGTATGTGTATTGTAGTGATTATATACTCAGTGACATTAGAAGTCTTACACTTAGAAAAAAATAATTTGATCAACTTGGTTTTTTGGTAACATAGTGACTATATTTAAAGCATTTTGCGGCAACAATGTCAGCGTTTTATCTTTGATTTTGTTAAAATGTTATCTCTTATTCTTTGTGAAGAAATCAGTTTCTGAGAGCTGAATAGTACATATACTTTTAGTTATTGCTCTTTCATTTACAAGTATTATGCATAACAAAATGTCTCGAACGTCCAAATTATCACCATGTTAGCGACTTTGGCAGGGGTAGAATTATTGTCTATCGAGGTGTTGTTTTGTCCTATCGCGAAATTTGCCGCCGTGTTAATTGTACTGCAATGACGGTAATGTGTGTGTGTACATTAATATTACATTCGATTTTGAACTACAGGTGTTCCTGTCTTATTGTCATTGCCACATTTCTTGTACGCCGACCAGACGTATTTCAGAAAAGTTAAAGGCATTTCTTCACCAAACAAGGATGAACATGAGATATACCTGTTGGTTGAACCAGTGAGTATTGTTTTAAACCAGCGGTGTGCAAAGCCACGGGCATTTGAAAGATGCGATTTTCGGAAGTAATTACACAAGTGCATCAAAGTTACCGATAACTTTTCATGAAAGCGTGTCGTCTGCAAATTTCTTCGGAGTCGGGATCTTTCGCCAAAATATGAAAATAACAATGTGTTTTTTTACTGACAACATGCTTGAATGGAAAAGTATTAGGTTTATTTTGATGCACAGGTGTAATTCGGTAGAATATTTCCCGAGTTGAAAGAGAAAAGTATGTGTTAAGATGGCACATGCACATTTCATCAATCGTAAGTATAGATACGGACCTATAGGGAAATTTTCGATACCTACTGGGCAATTTTCACTGAAAATTTCACATAGTCTAGGTAACGGGAAATTTTCGCAGCAATTTTGCGATAATTTCATACCTCTTTTATGGCATTTTTTATACGCGAGGAAATATTCGACCAAACGGCATGTATGGGCCTCCCAAATGATAAAACAATACTTCGTTCATACGTACAGTAGCGGACAAAAGTTTGGAAACATTCTCAGTAATTTTTAAAAAGTGTGCTAATTTTGTATTCCTTATTATTAAGGACTATTTTACTTTTCTCATATATTTTGCTTACAGTCTTGAGGATACAAATGACAATTTGTGTTTGCTGTGGTACTGCAGACTAGCATTAAAATACCTTCATATTATTTTATGACCAAAAATGAGACGACAAAAGTATGGAAATATATTTTATATTACAAAATCAAATATAATAACTATACAGAAAGATTTAAAAAATACTGTTTAGCTAGTATATTTGATAGCATATGATAGCCTTAAGTATTTTACACTGCCTGATATCTGCTGCTCATAGAAGGCACCATTTTTTTACAGACGTCTGTTGGAAATATTTTTTACATAATCAAATAAATAGTTTCTATTTTTGAAAGTTTTTCGTGTCAGTTGTCTTTAAAACATGCTCCCAGAGATGTTCTATAATCTATAGGGTTCAGGTCCGGGGATTGCGAAGGCCATGTAAGAACATTAACATTTTTAAATCTTAACCAGTCCTTTACGAATTTTGCGGTATGCTTTTGGTCATTATCTTGCTGGAGTGTCCATTGTAAAGACATTTCTTCTTCAGCAAAAGGGATCATGTGTTCACTGAGAATATATGTGTAAAGTTTTTGATACATTTTGCCAACAATTTTAACAATTGAACCCGTTCCAGAACTAGATAAACAGCCCCAAATCATGAGGTTGGCAGCTGATACTGCTGTCAGAAGTCAAACAAGTTAAATTTGCTTCCATCGCCTCATGAAACTGTATCCCGTTGTTGTTCTGTCCAAGTGAGATGAGTTTTAGCAAATTCAAGCCCAGCAATACGATTTTTTTGGAATGAGAGGCTTTTACACTTTTGCACTGGATGCCTATCAAAAAGCCCATAATCCACCAAGCGTATCTGCACTGTTCTGACAGAAATATTCTCGGCACCCTCTTCTACGATTCTTTTGAAAATCTGTGTGGCTGGTATTCGAGGATCCAAAACATAATAGGTTTTTTTCGGTTTTCCGCACCTGGACCGCGTTGCTGTTGCTCCGTAATCTTGATATTTACTAATAATGTTCGAAATAGTCCCTTTGTTCATTTTTAATCTTTGAGAAATGTCAACATTTCTGACACCACTTCTAAGCAATTCAATTACTTTGTCTCTTAAATCTTTTGAATATTCTTGTGCTTTTGCCATTCTCGCTGATGATAATATTTACCGCACGCAATATCAGAGTATCGCAGAACGAATAAATACACCAAAACTGAAATGTTTGCATACTTTTGTCGTTACAAAAACTGTGGTATTTAAAAAACGCGTGTGTTTATGTTCAGAGAATTTGAATATTGATAAGGTAAACTTTGTATTAGTACGGAAGTCAAAATTTTAGTTTAGGTACATGAAATAGTTCATAATAATGTTAATATTTGTTTCCAGACTTTTGTCTGCTACTGTACTTATTGTTATAACCATGGAATATTTTTCAGAATACTGGCACTCCACTGCAAGGGATGAAAAGAGTTCAAATGAATATGATTCTACGACCAATCACATTCCTGGAGTACACGAAAAACCTTCCTCGAGCAGTTTATCCTCTCCTATGGCTCGAAGAGGTAAGCATTACCACAATTTTTAGTTTTATAACTTTTCGCCAGAAGACTGTTATATGGAATGTTGTTTTCTTCTCATACGCAGCGTAAATGGTAAGAAATAGGGCTTATTGCTGCCCGCCTAGCTTGGTGATAAAGCAGTATATCGAGAGTCTCTCGCCCAGCATATTGCCAAATTTGTCGAGAGAAATAATCGTTGGAAATAATCGTACACGTCGAAATTATCGTACACAGTGCCGTAGGTCCTTGCACAAAACATATACGGACGGGTATTACGTATCTGGGAAAGTAACATTATGCCGATTTTTTTTGACATTATCAAGTTTTTTTGTGACATTATATAGGTTTTTCTGCAAGATGTTAACTTAGCACTAGCTGATGGACTCGTTGTGAACTCGTTTTGTAGTTGCACGTGTTGCCGTCATGAGGCTTCAGTTATCAATGTTTGGCTCTGATGTGATACATAATCTGCTTCAGAGATGGCATTACTGGAGGTAACGGCAATGCATAGATTCATAGTGAGGATTTGCTAATTTGCTGAATTTCAAAAATGAGAGAGATAAGATATAATTATCACTGTAATTACACACAACGCGGGCGCAGTGATGGTTTCCCGTAATTCTCCTAAAAGTTTTTGAAAACACAAAAAAAAAATCGTAATTGATAACTTTGAACATAAGGAAAGGGCAACATTCAACATCATTTGAAAACTTCCCACCACAAATTTATCAAAAACCACTGGTTAAAAAAAAACGCGGAGACACTTCAAAAGATTCGTCAAGTGAGACAACTTTTTAACCAAGAACTACTTCACTCTCGGCCCCCAGGGTCATTCATTCCCTTAAAAATTTTAAACGACAAGGGGTATCGAGTAATAGCTTGTTTGAAAGGTCTTTCGAAGTCCTTTATATCGACGTTTGATTTTTTAAAATCAGTCGATCCGTTTTCGAGAAAATTATAAGAATCTTGATTTATCTTAATTTGTTCAAATAGAAAACAAAAACACACGAAAATATCACTTTTCATTTCAATAAGTGTTCAAAATGTTTCCCGTTATTGGTCAAACAATGATATAGGCGATGTTCAAATTCCTGCCGGACATTTTTTAAAACATGTTGAGGGACATCATGGCATCGATGATGCGTTGACGAAGTTCATCCAAACTTTCAGGTTGGGGAGTAAACACAATAGATTTTAAATAGCGCCATAGAAAAAAGTCTAATGGCGTCAAATCAGGAGATCTAGCAGGCCATTCTCTAGGTCTTCTTCGCCCTATTCATGTATCTTTAAACCGGAAGAACATAGTGAGGAGGAGCGCCGTCTTGCTGGAAATATATTTCAGCCTCATCAAGTATACGGTTTCCATCCTCTTCGATTTGGTTTTCAATAGTTTCAGTGGTTAGAGGATTGATATTGATCGTATTTTCCAACATATCCAAATAAATGTCTCCATTCAAATTTCCATCAATAAACAATGGCCCAATCACTCTGTTTCCTAAAATGCCTGCCCATACATTAATTTTTTGAGGGTACTGGGTATTCCCTTCCACTAAAGCATGAGGATTTTCATTGCTCCAATACCTGCAGTTATCCTTATTAACAAATCCACTTAGATAATATGTGCATTCATTACTGAAGCAGATATTCTTTACATAAACGGTATTATCATTAATGGCTGCAGTCATTTGTTCACAAAACTCAACTCGCCTATCGAAATCATCTTCGGTTAACTCTTGCAATATTTCCATTTTGGATGGATGAAATTTATATAGTTTTGTAACTGAGTGTACAGTCGCAGCAACAATTTTTGCGTAATGTAAGGTATTAGGATTTATTCCCAAATGACCAAAAATATCTGTGATGAAAAGAATACGGAAAAAATTCGGGTTGTTATTTGGTTGTTGCAACGTCTAATCCTCCGAATTGCTGTTTATGTTGGTAGTTTCCGTTTTCAATTATAAACGAGTTGTAGATTTGGCAAACCCTAACGGGCAACATTTTGAACACTTATTAAAATAAGAAGTGGTTGAGAGTAAATGAACTGAAACACTCACAATGGCCCTCCACAGGACATCATTCTTTCGTAAATGCTTCACCTACAACGCAATTATTTTTTACAATGCTCTACCTCGATCCACAAAATTGCTATCATATGATGAATTTAAAAGACATATGAAGAAATTTATTTTGAATAGAAGTATATAAATTAGTTGATAAAATTTATCTGTCACCTCACACAAAAATATTTCCAATATAGCATTCCTCTGTTTTGTATAACTTTTTTCGATTTTATACTTTTAAATCATGAAATATTGAATAACCTTCACTTATATATGTTATATACATCATATTTTTTATACACCTACATTTTTAAACTTATCAAATGTATTTATGATTTTTGTATTGCTTTTTCATTTTTTTTTTGGTTAAGTGGCAGAGTAGAATTATGCTAAACTTCGCCCCCTAAATAAAGACGATTTATTATTATTATTGTTATTATTATTATATTTTCGTGTGTTTTTGTTTTCTATCTGAACAAATTAAGATAAAGATTTTTATAATTTTCTCGAAAACGAATCGACTGATTATAAAAAATCAAACAAGGTATTACTCGATTCCCCTTGTCACTTAAAATTTTTAAGGGAATGACCCTGGGGGCCGAGGGTGAAGTATGTTTTTGGTTAAAAAGTTGTCCCCCTTGACAAATCTTTTGAGGTGTCTTTGCGTTTTTTTTTCGTGGTTTTCGATTAATCTGTGGTGGGAAGTTTTCAAATGAACCCCCTGTATAAATAACCTACCGGACACAACTGATAGATGTACTTCATTGGCAGCATATTCAGTAATGATTTTCTCACACAGCAAATATCACTGATTTTATACACATGCAGACCGATACACATAGTCATCCAGATGCGATCTTGCTATTCGAACAAATAACCAACTCTCTTTTCAAAGACTCAGAGATGAAAACTATAGACCACTCGTCTTCACAAAACATATGCAACTAACAATGCATGTATACGTGTAGTTGAGCCATTCCTCCATATATGAACGCTCACAAGCAAACGTGGAATAACTGTTTGCACCCTAAAAACTACCTAGTCTGGAAGATAATATATGGTTTTTTGACATTTTATAGATTTTTTACATAATACGCGTGAAATTATGCACCAAGCCTTTTATTGACAATTAAAGTGAAACATGTGAACGTATAATTGTTGAGATCATTCAACACATTTCAATATGTGGAAAAAAAAACAATTCTCCCAATGATCGAACATTTAGTTATTAACGTACCTTGTATACGAGGTTTGTAAATTAAGTGATGAGACTGATTTTTTTGTTTTTTTATTCAAATATCTTTAATTACATATTCATTTAATAAGCTCAAAAACTCGTTTATTGACATTGCTGTGTGACAAGGAATATTATTGTGGTGCAATACCCAGTTGTTCTTGATTTGTTGAAGGGTGGTGTGAGTTAAATTCAACTCTTCTCTGATCATTTTGACTGTCAAGCGACGATCTGAATGCACAAGTTCCCGTTTCTGTAGGTATTTTCATCGGTCCTTGAAGATGAAGACCTTCGTCCGTTTCGTGGTTCATCTTCAACCGGCTTTCTCCCTTCTGAGAATGCCTTAAACCACCAAAAAACCTGCGCTCTTGACAAAATACTTTCTCAGAGGGTCTGCTGAAGTATAGCAAGAGTTTCCGTTGCACTGTGCCCAAAACTGAAGTAAATCCTGATAATAATACACCCTTGCTCGAAATCGATATCACGGACTTGAGTACACAAAAAATCAAATAGCTCGCGCGAGTTCAAACTTGTACTTAAGGCAAACCACATATTCCCATGTCTCCTCTCCAAGCTCGGCGCCTCCAGTGTTGCCAGCTCGAACGCTACGTTGCGAGTCTCATCACTTAATTTACAGACCTCGTAGTACTTGAAATTATAGTACAAAAAGTATAATTATCGTGCGTTTGGCAATGCTGCAATAAGCCTCGTATTTACTCCGCGTCAAAACAAACATGATGAGCACTCGATGGTCGTTTCTATTCGCTTGTCGCTGCCCGTTCAGGCATTTATGGCGCCATGGCCGATAGGAGTGTTTGATTTGGCAGGGAGTAGAATGAGGTTTGACTACACTATACATGCTGATGGTATACTATTCGTAATATCTTACTGTCTCTCTAAAAGGTCCTCTTTTTACAGGGAGCCAGCTTAACACCAGACCTAGTAGACGAAATAAATTCTAAGCTATTCAAGGTTAAGAAAATTGCCACCTACTTCTTATTTGCTCTGATGGGTGTTGTATCTGTTGCAATTGTGGCTTCGAGTACCCATCTTGTCAGGACGACATTCTTGCTCAAACGTTAGTTCAAATGATATGTTTATTCAATATAGTATTTTTGAATAATCAAGTGTTTCAATTCATCCGTTGATCCGCTGTATTATACACTGTGTAAATCCATGATGCCCATTAACAGGGAAAGGAAACAACTTCCAGTGGGACTAGAGAACGATTATATTAATTAGAGAATATCAAATTAGGATCGTGGTTTTTATCAATTTAGTTAAAGAAGCAAAACGCCAATTTTATCTAAAAAAATTACAAGATGCCAAATCTGATCCAAGAAAACTGTGGTCGGTTGTAGATCACTTAACTAACAAATACATTCGAGTGAAGGCAAATATTGATGAAATTAAGAATGGTGATGGAACAATAGTGGCAGATAAACAACAAATATCTGATGCACGTATACATTTTATCACTAAATTCAGCAGCCAATATTTAAAAAAATGTTTTGAACGACATATTCCCAAAAACAAAACTTCAGTAAGTCGCAATGGATGCTTTGTTTTTCAACAAAACCAAATCAATACGTAATATTAGATACAGCAAACTAATTCTAACAAAATAATCTTTCAACCAAAACATTAGGGGATTTTTAACCCCCCTCACGAAAATTTAAGTTTCTTGATGCCTCGAAGGTGCGTTGCCAAAGAAGAGAAAAGAGAAAATCTCCAAGAACAGCTTAAGTATGTGAAACCATAATATCGATACTTCTATGAACCACTCTTAAAAAAAATAATTTGTCATTGTTATTACCTTATATTAATAATACAATTTGTTGTTGATTCCTGGTTAGGTATGATTTTCTTTAATACAGCACACTTCCATAAAGGCTTTGTTTTAATAACATATAGAATTTTGCAGCGGATGAAGGTTTGTGGACGTAATTTTTTTCTGTTGATAATTTTTTCCGTAAATAAAATATTCCATATATTATTAACGAAAACGAAAAGTTTCTGTCTAATAAAGGTACATGTGAGAAAAGTTTACAACGAAAAACTTCAAACCTAATTTTCTCGAAATCCGAATTTTCTAACATAGCACCTTCATCCACTCGTGTCTTCAATTGTTATGATCTATTTTATCACTGATGCCGATTTGGTATGGAATAAGGGGATTATAACAGAAACAGCCTTCTACTAAGGAACTTTTTTATTTCATTTTTTCATAATGCATAATTTCAATACAACTTTTTCACATTGGGAACTATCGACTTAATTCCATTTTTCAAATTCATGTACTAAGGCATAATACTAATTGACAATCAAAATCAAATAATACATACAAACTAAAAATACTTTTGCTAAGCTTCTTGGCACATGAATTTTTTTATTACCCCTTACTGATATTCTATATATTTTAAGACAATCAGAAATAAACATTTCAAAATTATGCTGGATAGTCAAATAATTATCTTAAAATACCTAATATCCAACAAGATGCCCAAAATATTGAATAAAAAAATTCAAGCAGTTTGAATATATTTTTTCTTACTTAAATATTGTTGTACTATTTTATAAGCCCAATTAAACTTATTAATAATGGAGCTTTTTGTAATAGAAGGGTGTTTCCTAATTGAATATCAATATTTAAGAGAATGATTTTTAGGTTCATTTTAAGAAGAAAACTTATACATATCAACGTATCTCCGAAGAATCTTAACAAAATACAGAGTGGTAATGTTCTCAAAAATAAATAATATATTATTAGTATCTATAATAACGACTTTAGATATTTTAGTGAAATTTGGCAATCATGTACTATGAATCATTTTTTAATGTACCACATTTTTAAAGTTCCACCAGTGGCGTTTGTACGGATTTTCACCTGCCTATTTGGCAGATATTGATCGTATTTATTTCTTAGCAAATTTGACAACTTGATTTTTCATATCAATATCGTTATTATGGCAATATCACCATCTAGAGAAATATTTTTTTAGGTGAAGAACTAAAAAAATTCAAAAGATCAACTCTGAATACATATTCATTTTTTATTTCAAGAATCAGTGATGTTCCACTGATTTCTTTTTGAAAACGTTACCAGCCTGTATCTCAAACGTATTCATAATATAGTTTTCTTCTTTAAATGGACCCAAAAAGCGCCTTCTTAAAATTAGTGTTCAATTAGGAAACACCACGCATAAGTTAGCAAAAAAGATAATTTATTTTTTATTTTGGGCATCCTATTAAGGAACTTGACAAGAAAGTAAACATCAATATTTCCATTTCGACCCTGTTTCTTCACTTCTCTTCACCATCCTCTGGAGTTAAAAATCATCCAGATTCAGGTAATTTTTTTTAAGGCACCAAGTCACACAGTTCCTTTGGAACCATACTCTTTCCTTACCGTGTTCTATCGGCGGTGTTCAATACTTCATTTTTTATATAAAAAAAAATTCAAGTCAACTAAAGAATATACTGATTCAATATAATAATATTTGTTATAAATTATATCCTTAAATAAATCGTACTCTTTTATACATATTATACAATACTACATTGCTATAGTTGAATCAGTATATTATCTATTGTCAATTTACTCAACATCTTTTGGATACTGTTACATGATTGACTTTGTAATCATCAACATAAGGGAAAACTGGCAGTTTAGATACAGTGTTTCTCTAGATTTAAGAGTCTAAAATGGATTATTATTGAAGTGAAATATAATCCGTTAATAGACATTAATTAATTTACACATTGATATAGAATCTCTCTTAACAGCTCTAAAATTGGTGAACCTGAATATACTGTAGACTAATACTACATTTTCAGATGAATTTTAATACATATCAAGCCTTATAACCCAAAACTGTATGAAAATTTTATAATATTATTATAATAAAATATGCGCCCCACTGTGCAAACTTATTTGAGTAGCTGATTAAAATTCATAATTTCAAAATTACATATAAATATTATACCACAAACGAAGAAACTATTTTCCAAGAGGATAATTGTATAAAGCATTTTTTAATATTACCAGCAATGCTTTTTAAATTCTGGCGCATATTTTTTAGAATTTATTTGAATTACGTCTATCAGAACATATTCATCAAAAAGGCAAAATATTACGATATATTCTGTTTTCGAGTGAATCTTTGCATTGTGTTACAGAGAAAATACAACAACATGTACAAAGACTGGCAGTGTATAATTTACGTAACAGATTGTTCAGGCAAAATTTTCATTTCATTGAGAGTAATGAACACTAACAAAAGTACACTATAATTTGAGCTTAAATTAAATCTAAAAAATCACAATCAATATTCATAAATAAAATGATACTTTCACTTGAAATGAATGAGAAATGATATACCTGCAAGAATCACTGTAATTTATTAATGCGTGTTTGTTAAAGAAAACTATGTAAAGTATAAAAATTGTTAGATATATTTCATTTAAAGTAAAAAATCACAGTTTAAACTGCAGTCTACTCTCTACCTCTCATAGAGTATTTCTAAACGTCTCGATTTCTTACGTTTACCCAAGTTGCTTTGAGATTTACGATCAGGCATACAACAAATTACATTTCAATTTTTTGTTTTGTAATGTTCACTTGGTTTTGACCACTACAGATAAGATAATATACTAGGAAGACCTATTCAAATAAAATGTGATTCGTTGTGATGCCTTTTGCTAACAGGGAGTTTAACTCTACTTTTCCATTATTTGAAGCATCGCCAACAGGTTATATATTCAAAAACTATCAAGACCTTTTCGTGCCACAAATGCTAAAGTTCATCACAAATACATCTATTACAGTTTCATATTTGAAATAACTTGTCTATGAGTCTGTTCCAATTTTATTTTATATTTGCTATTTATTTGAATATACTTTTAATTAGATAACAGTCTTTGAATATATCATCTGCATTTATCAAACAAGTGTTGTTCTTCGATAGAATTCTATCAAAATTAACAACAAATGTATTTCTACGGTGTCGCAAACTCGAATTCATTTGAAAGTAATTCTCAATTTGTACTACATTCAAATGAAATGGAACTATATATTTTCTTCGATCCTATACCATTATACATATGTTGACTTCTTCATTTCACAAGTTAGGATCTATAATTCTCACTATAAGAAACACTCGAGTATTTTTCATACTTTATTGGTGTTTTTAAACCTTATTTAATGCTAATAAACGGGAATGTCAAGAATATGCGCTATTTATTATTTTTTGTTTGTGCGAAGAATGTTTTTCTTAACAGCAGATATTTTGTGCACAAATATAGTCTTGACATAGTCACTTAAGTAGTACATGTTCTCCTAAGAACTTAATTATAACTGTTATAAGAAAGTCTAGTCGTTATAAATATGTCTGCTATGATGATCAGAGCCTTTTCACTTTCTACAATGAAGTATTCGAGAAAAATCAGACCTTCTATTCTATCTAGATATTCCGCTATCTCTTTTTTTTTAAGCAATGTTAGAGGATCTTTACATACACATTTGACCCTTTAGATAGCAAGGATCAACTTGGAAGGTGTTTAATGGATTTGAACTGTTTTGTTCTATTCCTTATTGTCTGTCAGAGTGGTCCATAGGTTATTTGCTCTTGATTAAAATTGTCCTGTGTGATTGATTTCTGTATCTTTAAAAAAGAAAAAATACAGGGTGTCCAGTGGGAAAGTTCACATTTTAAAATTTGAATTACGCGGCAACTGTATACGCGAGGAAGTGCGTTCGGCGTGCGGGTTAAATAGTTACAAAGGAACGTTGGACCGGAGCGCAGCGTGCTTTTGCTATCGAGGTTTGCTTTAAGAGTGGCGACTCATATGCGGCTGCCCTTCGGAAATTTTGTACACGATAAAACATTCCGCCCAAGAGATGCCTCAAGTCAGAACCTGTTGAATCTTTTTCCTACGCAGCGCGGACTCGAGAATGTTGTTTTCAGTGACGAGGCCCATTTTAACTTAAACGGTTATGCGAGCAAGCAAAATTGCAGATATTGGGAACCAACGAACTCAAAAGAGAAACATCAACAACAGCTACATAATCCAAAGGTGACTGTTTGGTGCACCATATCCTCTAGCGGTATTATTGGGCCGTATTTTTTGAAGATGAAAATGGACATGCATTGACAGCCAATTGCGAGCGATACAGAGACATTCACTGGCCTCCTAGGTCAGCCGATCTCACGCCTTGCGATAATTTTTTATGGGGTTATCTGAAGTCAAAAGTGTATTCCAATAATCCACGAACACTGGAGGAGTTTAAAGACAACATTCGACGACAAATAAACAAAATCACTCCGGAACTCTGCAAGAGAGTGTTTCAGAATTTGCGCGCGCGATTAGAAGAGTGTGTCTGAAGGGATGGCAAACATTTGGACGGAATGATATTTAAGAAATAAAACCCGCCAAATTTACGAATATGTTGATAGTAATAAATATTTTCTTTTCATTAAGATTTTTTTTCTTAAATCAAAAAGTGAACTTTCTCACTGGTCACCATGTATATAGGGTACTACATAATAATCTTATGAAGATGTAAGGATAGATCTAGCAAGAAATAATTTTAAAATTTAATATCAAGCACCCCAACGCATTTTTGCTATAATTGAATTTTGTGTTAATATCTTAATTTTTATATTGATCTTATTACAAATTAGGCATACTTGACTGTTGGACTTTCTATTGCAGTAACATCAACTTACTCTCCAATACTTGACAATTGCTCTTCTACTTTTTAGTTTAATTAACTACAAAAGCGTCGCCTGAACGAATAACGAAAAAAAAAACAGTGGCATACTCATTTTTCGCAAAACTTGCCGCCACGAATTTAATGGTGCAAATGATTTAGAAAAAAATATATGCGAATATGACATGTGAAAAACCAAAGCTCATTTCAGTATATCAATTATATATGTATATATATATATATATAAAGAACTTTCTCACATTTAAGATGCTAATCTGCTTTTGAATTTTCTTGACTACATTCTGTATATGCAAGCTTTCGTTTCCCTGTGCCCGTAATAGTTCAGTGGCAGATATATCCAATTTTGCTCCCGCGTGGTGGCGTTAGTGTGAGTGGAAGTAGGGCTGTCAAAAGTAGATGGAAAAAAGACGGAAAGTTAATCTATTTTTCGGCGTCTATTGACGTGAACAGATCAGCAATTCATATCAATAGTCGCGTTTGATTTACAGACAATCTCAGATAAGATGATCTTACTTCAGTTCACCCACTTTAATCTACGTTCGTTTTCCAAATCTCAGTTTAAATGGAATGACATTTCTTTCACAAGCGAGCCAGACGTCAGATTTGACTGTCATGTCAATTTGACAGTCTGACTTCACCCGCAAAACGAAATCAACAGAGCCCGTGTTTAACCTTAAACATGACCTCCAACCTAACTAGCGCCATCTACTTCCAGCGTTCCAGATTATATACCTCGATTTTTTCAGAAGTATATGCAACTGTCATTTTGTTACCATAGCAGACACATTCATGTGACATATGCTACCTAAGCACGCATATTGGGGTTTGCTTGCTACGACCCGTACTTCAAATTCCAGCTACCTTACGATACGCTGTCGGAAAGAACCGCCGGGTTTCAGCCGGTAGGGCACCCGGTTTCTTTCCCCTTCCACTCCCCGAAGCCCGGGAGACGATAGAAACACTGCACCGGCAACACCGCGGCAGCTCACCCGTAGATGATCTCGTTGATGCTGACGTATGTGCCTGTCACGAACCCCAACAAGCCGAAGCAGATCAGGAATCCGTTTCTCCACAATCGCCAGTTGTATTTGCCTAGGCCTGGATCTTCATAGAAGGTTACTAGATCTATGATGGACGGGAAGATCATACCCAGCATTGACAGGCAGACGGCGCCGACAAGGCCGATGAAGCCGCCCAGGTTTGGGATCAGGATGGCCATTACCTGGAACAGACAGAGACAATTAATATTATACATAGTCTTCGAAAACATGTGGAAATTCTAAAAAAAGTGTCTCACATGTATGAGATAAAAGGTGTCCCAATAAATTTAGCAACATTTTTCAATGACTTGACTTGGACATTTTATAATGCACACGTGTCATCTACAGGATGTTAGGGAAATAATATTCGTAACTTCAAGAAGTGATTCCTTGCATTATTCTAAGCAAAAAAGTTCATTGTAACCGAAGTCCGAAAATCAACCGTTTCGGAACAAAAAAAATTCTGAACTTATTTCTTGTTAGTCATGAAATAAATTAATTTTGCACCTTAATAATTTAAATTCATATGCCTAATAGCGTAAAATGTATCAATTTATTATTTAACTGTCGCTAACAAAATAATTTTCTTGCAAAAATTCTTGGTGTTGTTTTTGATACAAAATTAAGGTTTATTGAACATGTTAAAAGTCTATCTCAGAAAACCTACCTACGGCTGCGCACTCTTATAGTAAACAGGTATTTACTAAATTTTAAGTTGCGTAAAAAACTATGTGAAGCATCGGTCATATCTATACTAAATTATTGTAATATCGTATACTATACTTGTTTAGACAATTTCACCAAAAACGTTATTCAAGTTATTCAAAACAATTGTATACGATTCATTTTTGGCTTACGTAAATTTGATCATGTATCAGCGAAATATCCCGTTCTAAACTGGTTAAAAATTAATGACATGGTCAAGTATCACTATTCAGTTTTTGTTCACAAATTGCTGCTCACGTCTAAACCTTATTACTTGAAGGAACAAATTTCATTTAATAATGATGTTCACTGTAGAACTCTCAGAGAAAATAATATTAGAATACCCCTGCATACGTCTACACTTTTTAAACGCAGTTTTTCTTACAATGTTGCTATTATTTATAATGACCTTCCTAAAGTATATAAAGAATTTTCATTACCTGCCTTTCGACAAAAAGTTAAAACATTATTACTCAACCCTCCAAACATATAATTTACGTAATCATTCATTTCTTTTTTATTCCATCTTTAATTCAGATTAATAATTTTTTGGTGCATTTGGGTTTGGAAAGTATGCCTTTTTCTCTTTTTTTAAATTTTACTTTCGATGTAATGAACCAAATCTGTTTGTGGATAGTGTATTCTTTTGAACATCTGCTAGAGACTATATGGTTAAGTGTAAGAGTAGCAGCATGCTAAACTTCGCCAGGTAAGTCTGACATTTGGCTATACTACAATGTAATTGTGGATAAATAAAGACGTCTATTATTATTATTAAATAGAATTTTCCGAAGAAAAAAACGGATAAACAAAATCCCTCACAAAACTGGCAACGTCGTACTCCGCCTGCACTGCATGTATCATCGCATGTTGTTGTGATTACTAATACATTTTACTGTAACTTTATGTGATTTACGGATGTTGGCTTTTTCTTTTTTCGTGCATCGCATCGTTTCAAATAAGTGACTGATAATCGTGGGAATTGGTGCTGAATATCGCCACGTACCGGTAAGTTCTGTCATTTTTTATAAGTAAATGTACTATACTTAAATAAAAAATATTAGCCTCAAAAAGTTGCGTAAAGGTATTCAATAATTCAAGGCATATTTTCAAAAAAAATATCATACAAACGTAAACAATTCGATTAATCGGTTGCGGTCGTCGTGCGCTCGTATCGAGAAAATTTAATTATTTACGACTCACTTTCATCGAAAACGATTGATTTCCGTTCATAAGTTATAACTATAATGAACTTTTTTTTTGCTTAGAATAATGCAAGGAATCACCTCTTAAAGTTACGAATATTATTTCCCTAACACGCTGTAGAGTCCTAGAAATTTAATTATTTTCTTTTTTTATTGTATCACATGTTTCATTTATTTATTAAGGAGAAATGTGTTTTTTCTGATTTTTCATTTTTTTAAGTTAAGTCGTTGGAAAAAATGCTTGAATTGACATAAATACCTGTCACTGAGTATTGATATTATTGTCTATTGTTAATATTGATTTATTATATAATATATTATAAATATCTCTAGATTAAGCATCATTTTGTAAAAGTTTACCCACCCCATCATATCATTATGTAATACATAACGAGATCGATATTCAGTGGATATTTTGATAAACGGCGACACGTTAGATAAAAAAGTATTCGTACTAGCGAAAATATACAATTTTTTCGACAATGACCTCCCGTTTTTGATCGCATTTCTTCCTCTTACCACGACGGTTCTTACTCGCCCCTAAAGCGCCGAGTTTCTAGTTTTCGAAACAGTATCATTTTCCGATAAAACCTTTCGTGAACCCTGAAAAAAAAACAGGAAAAACCGCGCCGACGTCGAAACGGTCCGATCCAGGCTCGAGAGGGGAAATGAAAAAAAACCAAAGATCACCGCTTAATATTGTCGATATACATCTATCAGTAATTAGATAATTTTGCATCAAGCGTTTGTTTGTCCACTTAAATAAAAAAAACATATTTCTCTTTTTAAGCAAGAAAACAAATGTAGCATGTGATACAGATAGAGGGTGTATTTTTTTCGAGCAAATAAAAAAATACAGTTGTTTAGCCTAAGCAGTATCTCCCAAAGCTATTGAGATCCTCATGCATAGGATCATTATTTTAAACACCCCATATATTTAATTCATTGCGTATACCTTCGCTTCTCAGTTCATCCCTCCTTGTGCAGCTTTTACCTCAAGCTTTCGCAATCATACTTTAGTATTTGTGTCGTCATGAAATTTTATGTCTGTATCTTCCGGATTTTCTAATATAGTGTTCTATATATTGTTCCGCTTATTTATATCTCTTGTCATGTATATTATTGTTTTATCAATTACTTTTTTGAACAATCGGGATATTTCTGTCCTCTTAATAATAATTTGAGATTACATTTTTTACACAATAGATTTAGGTTATGAACTGGAGTTCATCTTTGTTTTCTTGTTGTATATCTTGGGATTCAGTAGATCTCTTGGTTTTTAGGATGTCGTCAGTATATTTGTTAAACAGCCATACAGACTTTTATTTTGCGCAAGCTGTTGCCTGTGACTTCGTACGCTTAAAGCTGTCATCGAAATACAGTTTTTTTATTTGAGAGCCAACTTTCATGCTTGGGAAACCTGTTCTGGGGGTGAAACTGCGAGGCAGAAAGCTAGTCGCTTTATAATTCTTTGGAGATTACAATAAAAAACAATTCAACTTACCACTGTAAGGATGACCAAAGATGTTCTGATGCCGTATTCTGCTAACGTTTTGTGCGATCCGAAGTTGTTCTTTACTGCCTTCCAGATGATCTCCATGGGCACATAGAATTGGAGAGCGTATGTGAAGAAGATAGCGATAGCAATCATTACTTTTACTGATTGTGCCAACCTGAAAAGAAAAAAAAAGATTAAATTTTTTTGTAGAAAAATGATAACAATGTATGTATAAAAAGAACTATGGCCGAAGAAAAGCATCAGACTATTGGGTCACTGATTTAAAATATTTCCTGGATTACAACAGGTTGGCGGGATATGTTGCATATTATGACGACATTACACCAATAGTCATGTACAGTAAACTTGAATTTATGATTGTCAAATTGACATTACCGGGGAATTTATATCATGTACGAAATAAGCCATACTTTATGGAAAAGAGTCAATTATTTTCGAATTGCTGCATTCAAACCAATTATTTTGAACTATCAGTGCATTATACTTTGTTGCGTTAATCGCCGGGAGCGAATTGTCCCAGGTAGCATAAGCACGTCATAATGATGTCGAAATTTGGTAATAACTTGTCAAAATATCCTGATTGTTTCAAATATTGACGTCATAATGACGTCTACTAAATGTCCAGTTGTGTACGTATATTGCACGACGTTGTTATTACGTGTTTTTGATGCTATTTTTCATATCATAAATATTTTATACGTACGATATTTTTGTTATCTTAGAATCAATCTCTCCGATTCAAAACGGATCGAGTCAGCGGGCAGAGAAATAAGTATTGCCTTCATCGTCGTTCACTCAAAGCAACGCAAATTTGTCTGAAATGACAAATTATCAAGGTGTTGCCTTTTATATTTCTAGCAGTCCGATATATGTATAATATTTAATGTTTTTTAAGAATCAGTGTGAGTGTAAAATGAACAAAAATGACCATGTTGGGCACAACATTTAGATAGAACAAATAATAGACGTGCAAGTGACGTGTTATTGACGTCTGCCATATAACGTAATCGGTATGTAACATTAGGAGGTAATTTTCACGTTACTTTTACGTCATTTAACTCGTCGTTTCTCCGCATTTCATGACCAGTTTGCAACGTAATTTTCACGTGCTTGTGTTACCTGGGGTATAATGATGTCTCAGAGTAAACCACGAAGGAAGATGATTACTTACGGTTCATTTGGAAGGTTCAGTGTAATACTTCCAACACTGGTGGCTTCTCCGTACTTCAAGTACCCAAAGAACCCAGTGGAAGCGTAGAGCAGTACTACGAAGAACATTCCGGTGTTGAGTACTCCAGGACATCCGATGAAATGGTCGGGGGTCTTCATGTTGTTTTCCAAGGGCATCACTACACCAATACCCTCCAAGGCGAAGATGGCGGTACCGAAGAAGCCTGGGAGAGAAGAAAAGCTTGCGACTGGGGCCCTGCTGTCCAGTGGAGGTAGATCGGAGAAGATGTAGTAGAAGGTTATGCCCATTCCACCAGCAACCTGGAATTTGAAAAAAATATGGTATACAGGGTAGAGCAATATTTCTTTGATAGAAATTAAATAGAAAAATAACATCTGAAACTTATCCTGACCAATCGAAACCACATTGTGTTGAAAAAAATATTGTAAAGGTTTGAGTCATGTTGGTGACCTGTTTTAGTACAATGAGTTTGACAATATATTTTATTTGTCTTCCAGGCAGTGGCGTAGCTACCTTGGGTGGCACCCGCTGCGGAAGATGGTGGTGTCACCCCATCGAAAGTCAAAAGCAATATATTTTATATGATTCATAAACGTCATGGATCATTTAATATTTATATTTATAATATTGAACAAATAACCTAACCCAATAAAAACTAAGAAAAAATATTTTTATCTTACAATTAAAATCTCTTCTTTCTAGCTTTGACAGTTGCAAACTCAGAAATAACTTCAGGAAAATTTATATTTTGTATTGTTTCGTGTTCGATGGTTAATATACCAAGATTGCTAAGCCGCGTTGTTGCCCGCAAATAGCTATTTATTAATTTTTGTTTACTGAAACTCCTTTCACATGAAGCTACGGACACGCAAACCGTTATGAGCAATTTTAGTGCAATCATAAGTTTTGGAAGGGATTCTGTAAAATCCCATTCTACAATAAACCTAAAAAAATCTAGAGATACCCAATCAGAAACTGTAACATTCGCGGGTTTTAAGTGTCTTCGCAGTCTTGGTATCTCCAAAAGTAATTCTGTTTCTGAGACCTGAGAAATCAGTAAATTTGGATGCATCTAATTTCAGTTCTTCAGTATTCGCCAAAAGCAAAGTATTTGTACGATCTCGAACAATGAAGCTCTAGGTCTTGGAGAGACTTCGATCTTGTCTGGAGTTCAACTCTAACTCGGTCAAGACATTCCAAGATATTTTTTAAAGTTCTTCTTTCAGTGTGAGTAGACGAAGCCGTCTTTCTGTTGGAATATCGTAACACTTCTGATTTTGGGGGAATTCCCGAAATATACATAGAGCCGAGCTAGCGCTTGTGGAGGAATCACAGAAGAAAAATTTTTTTTTATCTTTGTACATTGTTCTTAAATCTGAATCACCGGGTGGGTGACAACCCAAAAAGGTTACACCCCGCCTAGGGGTAGGCATTCATGCTACCAAAAATTGTCACGTGCCAAAATCACGTAACCTTTTTTTTACTATTTTGATTTTGAATTTCTCTTTATTAATGGGAAACAAAATAACGGAGAAAAACCACAGAGTTTTTACAACAAAATAATGAATCACTGAGAAAGAAATATATAATACGTGTGAAATTATACATAAATAAACTATGGAATCTACTAAAAGAAAATCACTGAAAAGGGTTTGACCTAGGAATGGGCACTCTACCATTAATAAAGAGACATTCAAATTACTAATAAGTGATCAAAATGGTAAAAAAGGGTTACGTGATTTTGGCACGTGACAAGATACGTTATACTCGTCCATCGTCCCTTAGACGCCAAAAGCAGTACAAAAAAAATGCGAAAACCCATCCAGCACTGTTCTCGTAACCCTATTTCGGGACCAACTCTCGTATTTCATGGGTTACTTACCAGTACGTTAGCGATCATAGACAACGGAGACAGCCACTTGAGATTTCTGATCATGTTCGTGGGTATGAGAAGCGGCAACAACGCGGCCATGTACACCCTCACGTCCAACTCATAGTGAGGATCAATCACTTGTTTGACGTTCTTGGAGACGAACACTACGTATACGCAGCAACAGCCGATCAGATCGATGACCAGGAACATATTGATCATAGCCTTGGCGAATTTGGCCCACGGATGGAAGGCTTTCGGGCCAGCGAGGAAGGCTGCCTCAGCTACTTCAGCGAAACCTGAAAGAAACACGATTGTTAGAATGACTAAGAGGTGGTCTTTCCCATGTTAGGGAAATCTAGGACATATGGCAAAGTCACATACATCTATTATTTCGCCATTGTTTACGCCAAATCACGAATTCAGCAGAATTGTTCATATGCTGTAACTTTAATCAATATTTACTTTCATTTCTTTGCTTTATTTAATTTAATTTGACCCCTAAATAAAATTTAATTGTGATTAATTAGCCAAAAGTGTGCATAAAACTACATAATTTTGGCGGCAAGCAATGTAATTTAAACAAATAAGCTTGAATCAAATCTGATCGTAGATAATGTATATACTATATACCCTATTTCACGAGTATCCATCACGCTTTGACGTTTACTGAACAGCTGATCAGCAAGTAACATTTTTGTGTTAGTCTGCAATCGGGTGTAAATCTAGTAAAACTTGTTTCTGGCGTTTTGTTTTTTGTATGCAAATGAACTTTTCTAAATAAAAGAGCTGTTAGCAAGTACAAAATACATCTGGAACGTGCAAAAAAAAACAAAATGCGGCTCTGGCTACATGACGTTGACGGATCCGTCAGAATTATGTGTCCTGTGGCGATAATCAACTGTCATTCTACCATGATGGATAGTCGTAAAACAGAGTATATAAAAGTAACCATTTTACGCCAACAATTTCTTCACGAATTTATTCAGATTGATTTCTTCTAGGTCATCATGATTATGTTTTGCAGTGTTTTCATCTGACAGTACACAGTGCTGCCAACCACAAATTTTGGATAGAAACATTTCGGGGTTATATATGTATTGTGGTTTTGCTTTTGAGGCGAATTTCATAAACAGAAAAAAAACTGTCCAATACAGTACTTCTATCAAAGCTCTAGCTATACTTTAATTGAAAAGTTGCTCATTTTGATGAAAAGGAAAGAAACGTTGGTACCATGAAATTTGATATTCAACTTGGCAAACATTACAGCAAGTTCTATTTGCGTGAAGAAATCTACGAAGAACTGTGTCCGGCCTTTTGGTTTTATAATTATTGTAACAAGTGTTCTCATCCACGCTTTCGTTTTAAAACACCATTTATCTGCAACCTCACCGACGACTTCTGAAGATGACAACATAGTTTGTCGAAAGTTCGAGATTACCATCAAAAGAGTTGACTAAGTTTTAAGTTTCGTCAATTCCCAAAAAACAATTTAATTGTATTTTTTGCCCAACTGGTCGTTGGCATTGGCAATGGCTACATTTCATTAATAATCTCCTACACCTACGTCTAACCGTTTTTGACATTCTCAGTGCTACGCTATTCTCAGAGTTTTATTGCAAATAAGGTTATATTATATAAATCTGCGAGAAAGCAATTGTGTGCATCTTTCTTGTTTTCAAAGATATCGTATTGCTTAGTGGTTTACTATCCCTATTTAGATATGATAACAGGAAATCGTATTCAAAGTATTATGAACATCTCTATTTCAGAATACATATATTTACAATGCGATCAAATCGTATAAATATTTAGACCGCAGTTTTTTTACATCTCGTATTGTTAAGGGGGTTAGATGTTAGAATAGATATATTATCTTAATCTCGCCTCCTGTAAGAATACTACAAATAAAAGACGTTAATTAATTAATTAATTAATTAGGAGGTAATTTATTATTATATAATTATTTACCAGAGCTATACCGTTGATGTCAACTTGCTTATTTTAAATTAGACACCCTGTATATTACTCAATATTCAGATTCTACATGAAATTCTAATCACATTTCATGAATAGTCTCCTACACCTAAGTCTAACCGTTTTTGACATATTTCAAATTTTATGTCAAAAATGACGTTTGCAGGCCCTAAAATAATTGTTCATTTCCCCTTATTGTTTAATGTGGATTGATTTTCTGGTAAACAGGGATATAGTTTAATAGATCTTGTATGATATTTCGATAATTATTTATACAGGGTGGTCAAAAAATTAGTATAAAAATTGAATGTCAATAATTACCAAAAGACAATTTTTTCTAGCATTAAAAATTAGCGTAACTTTATACAGGGTTATCTATCCCAAAAAATGTTTACTTTTCGAGTAATTTTCAATTTATTACTTTTCTTTTGTAAAACTCCTATAAGTACAGATTTAGTTTTTTAATTAGTGGACTATGACGGCGAGAAGTGGAGAACAAACAATTGAGCACTACAGAAATATCACTACGTTTAATTTTAATATAATAAATAATTTTCATGTATTCGTAATAAGTTTGCTAGCAGATTTCCAAACAAGCACACATACAGTGAAATGAATAACAGGAAATAATAAGCTATTTCGATTTATATTTAACTTTCATACTATTATAAAACAAAATTAAAACATAACAAGAAACAACTTATTTTGGTAAATGTTCAAAATGAACACCCCTAACTTCCAAACATTTAAAACATCTACGTATTAACTCCTGATGAGTGGCAGTTCTCATGATTTCCGAACTCAAACTAGCAAATACATTTCTTACTCTCTGCTTACAGTTATCTAGAGTGGTCAGTGGGTTCTGTTAAGTAATATTTTTTATTGTATAACCGGAAGTGCCACCATCTTGAAAATATTTCAGCTGCCGTTACCCCATCGACATTAGAATACTCTCAAATTTTCAAAAATATCATATGGCTACTTTTCGAGAAATCTATCGACGGAGTTCTCGATGCGACACCCTGTATATAAAGAGAAAATTATCATGCGCAGAAAGGTATATATCAAAAAATAGGAAAATAATGGGCTAAATACGCAAAAAGAAGGAAAGTGTTCCTATTTTTTGTTATATATATATATATATATATATATATATATATGTTATGTATGTATGTCGCAATATGCGATTATCGATGCATTATTTTACCGTTTTGAAATGTAATAAAACATTCTGTATTTTGGAATGCGGAGGAAATAGATCATCCAAAATTATCCAGACTTGCCTTGAAGTTGATGCTAATTAAAGCTCCATCAACACAGAAAGAGTGTTTTCGCGCTGGTCATTAATTCATACACCAGTACCAAACCGATTGACATTTGATTGATCTAAAAAGCTGATGCATGGTATTATTCCGGATGAGTGATATGTATAGCGACCTTGCCTATCTAAATATTAACGATCATGACACTGAATGAAATCAGTCAAATGGGACAAATTTTGTTTCCACAGTATTTTATTTTAGACATGTTCCCAATTTATTTAAAACTATAACTCTGTGTAGATACATGATAATTGAACTGAACTATTATTTGTTATTTTATACATTGTTTACATTGTCTACACGAATCTCAAGACGTTTACGATTACATCTGAATACGCGTAAGCAATGGTGTATTTTACCATGCGCCCATCAATGCGCTTACATAATTTTAATAAATTATTAATTCTATTATGAAACTTACCTAATGAAGGTACCCTTGTCCGCCGGCACAGCTCGTGCGCACTTTTAACTAGGATGTGAACGCAGTAGGTGCAAATTGCGCCAATGGCGAAGGTGCAGAACAGTCCTAAGAAAAGGCCAGCGTGGGAAAAGGCCAATGGCATAGCCAAAATGCCACTGCCCAAGCTGCCTTTCAGCAAGTGAATCAAGGTGTCCAGGTCACTGAAAGAGGACAAATATTAGTAAAAATCAGATAATGTAGCAAAATGAACACCATGGTTTGAATTATACAGGGTGACCTCGAAGTTGAGTCATTTATTTTAACAGTGAGTAGATCTGATCAAAAGAAATGTTTTTTCCTTTAACATTTTTCTGGTAAAATTAAAGTAACAAAGTTATAGCCCTTTAGAAGTTTGAGTACCGCCCTGTCTCAATAATAATATTATGTGCTCGTGTTTGGCAACAACGGATATAATCCGCCTTATCGGTTCATCGCATCGGAAACAAAAAAGCGAAAGAATTTGAAACGCTTATCACTATGTTTTTACTACAATTTTATTCAGTTGTATTCAGTCAATGTGTCAGTCGGTAACGCGTGAGTGAATAGTGGTGTTTGTTGCGTGGCTCAAACGAAATAAAAAATGGCACATGTTTACGAAAATGCTGAACTTGTGGACATGATTCCTATTTACGGGGGGAGGGGAGTCTTTACAACCCCTCGTACCTTTGTTAATGTAGTACAAAGGGCTCGTGAATCAGGTGACTTAAGACCTCACAGGGGAGAGCATGCCGGTGCTCCAAGACCGCACGATCAAATACAGGTCCGCACTGAAATACTTGTCGGGAGGATACTTTATAAAACAAGGTAACATTTTTTTTAAATTTTTTTGTTATTTTTACACACATATTTTGGATTATCTTCCTTCTACTTTATATAGGCCTCGATATTTTATTCATGAGTAGTAGAGAATGCTTGGGCTCAATGAGAGCTGTAGAAAACATTTCAAATTTATGGTTCCACTGAGGTGAAGTCCATGGATCTGACAGGGTTTCTAAGGACGTTCGGAATCAACAGCGCCTGTGTTTTGCGTTTGGGCAAATTCGGATGATATATGATTGTGTTAATGACTATACGAAGAAACACTGCCTATTTGAAAGACAATATTCGTAATGAAATCGTACTCAAAACGCTAAAAATCTTGTGGTAAGTTACGGAAAACGCTACGGAATTGCACTAGCAAGCAGAAGAAGCAGGCTGTGATCGAAATTTAAGAGATGTTATCATCCATACCTAATTTTCCATTAGTGAAGGACGCAGTTATAAAGAGTTTGATCCATTACGTAATTTTGCGCTACTAAGTATCCCATAAAATCCTTGGACCATTAACAAGACGTTTAAGTGATTACGATTACGCTAAGTATATTTAGTATCAAACAGAGCAGAAGATAGTTATACAAGTTTAATAGGTGTTTTAACGTACACGTAACATATTTTCATTTGTCTCATAAATTTTTTTCTTTGATCTACAGAGTTTATATTCAGAACATCCATAGGTAATCAAAATTAATTATTACCCAGAGCCTTGAATTGCGTATGAGGTTGAATTGTTATATTCAAGTCCCAAGCTTTAAAGAGCCTTCGATTTCAAATAATAAGCATCCAGGTATTATTTTTAGACGCAAGGTACCTAATTTGAGAAGTTCTGATGAAATTTCGAGGATGTTATGTATTTGTATTTGATAGTATCATTCAGTACTTGTGAGTTTCACCCAAAGTTTTCTTAATTGAAGATTTCATAAAAAAGGAAATGATGCAATATTAAATACTTATTACCTTGGGATTTTTTTTAATTAGAGTCATTTGAATTGATGTTCTACTTTTTCTAATTCTGAATTCTGATTTATAGTAATAAAGATACGGAAAAATATACAGAACCGCTGAATATCTTCGTATCCCAGCTATTTATCTATTTAAACTAATTTTTATGAGGATTTAACTAGTTAATATGCTGTCAAAATTTCGTCAGATTAGGTCAAAACTGAAGAGCATTAAAATCAATACTTGAAGCTCTGCTTTATGTTGTGGTGCCGTGATATACAGGGTGACTTTGAAGTTGAGTCATTAATTTCCAGATAATAATTGTAGAACGAAAATAAACCAAAATATGTGTGTAAAAATAAAAAAAAAATAAAAAAAAAATTTACCTTGTTTTATAAAGTATTCTCCCGACAAGTATTTCAGTGCGGACCTGTATTTGATCGTGAGGTCTTGGAGCACCGGCATGCCGTCCATATGTGAGGTCTTAAGTCAAATGATTCACGAACCCGTTGTACTACATTAACAAAGGCACGAGGGGTTGGTTGCACTCGATTGGGAAACCGATCCGCATAAACATGTGCCATTTTTTATTTCGTTTGAGCCACGCAACAGACACCACTATTCACTACCGACTGACACTGACTGTATACAACTGAATGAAATAATTGTAAAAACATCGTTCCAAATTCTTTCGCTTATTTGTTTCCGATGCGATGAACCGATAAGGCGGATTATATCCGTTGTCGCCAAACACGAGCACATAATATTATTATTGAGACAGGGCGGTACTCAAACTTCCAAAGGGCTATAACTTTGTTACTTTAATTTTACCAGAAAAATGGTAAAGGAAAAAACATTTCTTTTGATCAGATCTACTCACTGTTAAAATAAATGACTCAACTTCGAAGTCACCCTGTATATTGTCCGTCATAATGATGTCCTTTTCAACAGGGTCAGATGTACGAAGGTGGTGCCAGAAGACCCGACCCAACGAAGAAAACACAAAAGTTTTGTAAAAGAATGTATTTATTTTTCAACATAATCTCCTTTGAGCTCTATACACTTGTCCCAACGATGTTCATTAAGTTCGATACCCATTTTATAATAAGAACTGTCTTGATCTTCAAAATAGCCATTAACTGCCGGCATCACTTCTTCATCGTTGGAAAATCTTTGACCACTGAACCATTTTTTCAAGTTTGGAAACAGAAAATAATCCGAGGGGGCTAAATCTGGTAAACAGAGTGCATGAGGTAGCAATTCAAACTTTAATTCGTTAATTTTGGCCATTGCAATAACGGATTTGTGAGCTGGTGCATTGTCTTGATGAAAAAACACTTTCTTCTTAACCAAATGCGGCCGTTTTTGCTTGATTTCATCGCTCAAACGTTGCAATAAGTTCGCATAATGCTCGCCGTTGATAGTTTTACCTTTTTCAAGATTTATCCCACGCGCATCCCAAAAAACCGACGCCATAACCCTGCCTGCAGATAAAACGGTCTTCGCCTTCTTTGGAGCCGGTTGTCCCTTTTGAGTCCATTGTATTGATTGTTCTTTTGTCTCGCGTGTGAAGTGATGGACCCATGTTCATCCACGGTTATGAAACGACGCAACAATCCTGCTTTGTTGCTGTGCAACTTCGCTAAACACTCAATTGACACATCTTCACGACACTGTTTTTGCTCGATTGTGAGCAACCGCGGCACCCATCTTTCACACAGCTTTCTCATGTCCAAATTTTCAGATAATATGCGATGAACCGCACTTTTTGAAATGCCTACTATATCTGCCAGCTCGCGCACTTTCAGTCGACGATCATTCAGTACCGCTTTGTGATTTTTTTTCACCATTTCTGGAGTCGTCATCTCATTTGGTCGACCACTGCGATGCTCGTCTTGGCAGCTCATACGGCCTCGTTTAAGCTCTGCTACCCAATATTTTACTGTTGTAAACGAAGGAGCAGACTAACCCAGAGTAGAATCCAGTTCAGCTTTGATAACTGCCAAACAAATACTAAACAACGTGGCGTCTTCAAACTTGACACATATGCTTTATAGGTTGCATACTTTCTAATACAATGATATTTTTCAAACAAGTATCGCCATCTCTAGGTCAGGCCGGGTACTTCTGGGACCACCCTCGTATATGCCGAACATTATTGAGTGTCCTTGTCGCGCGACAAAAATCATGTGCATAAATGAATCAAGCGTTGCCAAATATTACAATTTAAATAATCCAATATGAAGGAACCAATAATTTATTTTATTGGAAACGAGTAGTTGGAAATTTAAAAATGTCCAACAATCGTTTTTGCAGGTAGTATACAATCAGCGAGTCAAAATTAAGATACGCTGGTTTTTATTTTATCGGGTAATAAAGATAACCAACAACAATATACGTCATATTTGTTGATAAAGCTGCATTAACTATTGTAAATATAACTTCAATTATTCCAATAATATTTTTTTGAAGTGCACTTGAAAATGATAAGGATAATTTTTGTACGTTGAAGGATAAGCCTACGCATATTCAAGCGCCGCCCGTTATTTACAATAGTTAGGTGAATAGGCGCAGTTAAAGGGGGCAATACTGCAATACTCCCTAAGATTTACCGGTGCTGCTTAAGCATGACCCCCTCCCGCTCTTCAAGAATAAGTAGAATTGTTCATATTGGGAAACTTGCAGTACTGTAAGTGTAAGGGTGCTCCCCAATAAACTTTCTCTAACTCCCCTCATGGCTCAGCGCTTCAAAGTAAAAACTAGACAGTAAAAGAAGAAAAATCGATAACAAAATGAGGACTGATCTATCAAGATCGCAAAAAGGTGGTACTTACGAAGTGGGATGGTCCAACTTGCGATGCTGGAACGGATCGTACTCTCCGACTTCCGGATCCAACTTTCGGGTGTCCACCAACGGCACCGTCGAGCCGTTCGCCGACTGTGTAGGAACTTCATTTTTGTCACATTTATAACTGCAATAGGGTAGAATTAGTTTCCGATCTCAGACTTGGCCGATTTCACAATAGCATTAATGGGACGGGGGTGATACGATGTCGCATATACAGGAAGAAGATATCGGCAACCCTGAAGACGTTACAGGTATTCATTCTTCAGGGGTACATACACTAGTTGCAATAAAACATATTTTTAATCAACGTATAATGTAATGCAATAGTTTAAAAACTGTATACAGATTGAGAAGGCAGCATATTCTATTTGGAAGGGAATCTAGAATATGAACTGAAAACAAGTTGCAAAAACGAAACGTACTGTAAAATAACAACTGCAAAGGGTCTCCTAATAATAGGTGTCCATATGACTTTAGGGTCACATTTATAAACATTCCTTGAAGATTACGTGCCATTTGAGGAATATCTGTCCTTGGATTTTAAACAAACAACTTCCTCGAGCAAATTTCAGGGAAGGATTTGATATTTGCATCACAGTAGGTTGTATCAGTGAAAGAATTTTCATTGCTACTATTTAGCATTTTGATGATTTTGGACGGAATGCAATGCAAAATTAGAGGTATTTTGAGGTATACAATATCGTGTAAGAAAACGATAAGATGATAATATTACCAACTGAGGGGTCGAAAAACTCATCGGGTACAGGGTATTAGATATTAGATCTAGGGAACAGAAGTATGTCCCTGAAATAAAAAAAAATACGAATACCGTATTTTCAGCCGGCAACTGGTTACTTAAGGTACGCCTCCAGCGCACAGGATGTCGTTTATCAAGCTATTGCAAGAAGTGTGGTGAGACAGAAAAAACTGCAAAACATGGATTGTTCTGCTCTAAATGTTAGACGAGGCCCTACTTAGTGAGTTAAGGCGGACTCTAGCGTATATATTCCAAAAGCCTTCTACGTTCATTGGGGTACTTTGGAACATTGGGACATGGAAATCCACCTAAGAGCTTGAACTAGAACTGCAAAATAAGTCTCACTGCTGAGAAAAACCCCCTTGCAACTAAAAAATAGGGCCACCTGGATTGTTTGGTCTATAGTGTGTTTGATTATTAATTATCGCGATTACATAACTTAACCCAGTAAGTGTAAAAAATAAAAAAAGTGCCAGCTTGGTTTTGACTTGTCTCACAATACATCTTACAGAGAAGTATTTCAATAGATAACTAATTGAAAAATTGCAATGTTTCTTTGAAGATTGCCGTCTTATTTATATCACGAATTGTTTTATGAAGAGCGTAAGACCCAAAAGGTTACTTATTTAGTTTCAAGAATCAATTATTCTTTGAATTATCTGTCCGCTCATCGATCTATTCAATGTGTCATTCGTGATCTTCATACTTTTTGTTTTGTACGTATACTCCACTCACTGGGTCTATTGACATTTCCTGCATATGCTGACATGTAGTAATGTTAGTCTGATGGTTGTTAGTACTTAGAGTCTACGAATCTAGAACTATATGCATTAGTGTTGTCTTGTAAGGATTGAAACGGGAAAGGTTTGATTCAGATGAGAATGGCAAAGCAATCAACTAGGAAGAAATACTTACAGATATGTCTGGAATTGAAGAATTGAAGGATACCAAGGCAGCATGGTATTTCTGATAGAGTTTATTACAAGTATCAAAGAAGTGATAGTAATAGAGAAAACATTAAAAAACAAGTTCATGACATCCATAGAACTTTACTTTGTTATATAGAAGATAGAAATTGATGACAAAATACTAGTTTACTTGAGTGTGTGATTACAGCTTGATTTTTGTGCCAACTCAACAAATTATATCAAGGTTTTCAAGACTTATTTTCACTTTACACTTGGCACGCTGTTTGTTATATTTTATATTTGCAGCGGCATTTTTACATAGTTCCTTATTTATTTGTGGTTCAACATACTTTCAGGTATTTGATAAACAACACTCATGTTTTGATAATTGAATCATTTAAAAACAGCTAACACCTACGGGTGTACAATGTGCAATAATACATTTCTTTCTTCCTCCGACCAAGGTCTCTTGTTATAATTGTATACTTTATTGTTTAAATTCTAAAGCATTCGATGAAAAACATTTCAAAATGAAGGCTTCACATTTATAGTAAGGTAAAATTATTATCTGTTAACGATATATCTTTATAAGATGTTTTTTTAGTAGACGTAAAGGCTGAACCTAAATTCCGACGTAATGAAATTATCGACTCCAAGAGTGGTGGTACTAACCAGTTCCTGACGTTATACATATTTTTTTTTGTAAATGACAAGCTCGAAGATAATTATAAATATAATGCTTCTGATGATGAGAAGATGCACTTTTCTTAATCTAGGTGAAAGTGTACAATTAGCAGAAATGACATATAATTATCTGATATATAAATGCCTACGTCTTGCTGTTTTCATTTTATTCTATGGAATAATAAATACCTGATTGTTTCGTTATTTATAACTCTTATTTTTCTACAATGATAAGATTGCAAAAGCAGGAACCTAAATATCGAGGTAGTACGACTGCTATGAAGAATTTAAAGATATCACGTTGGTTTATTTTTTTTTGAACAGCCTAAGGTTAGTAGAACTAGAAAAATCTGTCCAGGTAAATTGTTCTACATACTGGACGCCCTACGAAAAAAGGAGCGGTTTTACCGTCCAGTTCCTGATGTATAAGGTTGATCAGAGTCAAATTAAGACGCAGAAGCCTGGCGGATTTGAATAACAGGTCTACCATGCATTTAAGATAAAATGACAGGACTTGAAATTGATATTCTCAATAAAAATAAACAAGAGACCTCTGTCAGATATCATATCTATAAATATTATCATGATAGGGTAAGGATATGGTAGAAATATGGCATGATTGTGTGTAAAAATAAAAAAAATAATAATTACTGTCGGTTGAAGACAAACTTGATTTTCAAAGGCTAACTGATTGTCTCGATACAGATATACAGATTACATTTGTCACTTGTCATATAATAATTTAAAAAAACAATGGACGGAAAGCCGAAATTCGGTCGAATCATCGTAAATTACTAGTACACCGAAACTCAAAAATGTTATCCTGTGATTTTATATCGATTTTTTTCAATTCAGCTTTTCAAAAAAAGTATATTTTTTTAAAAGGACCAATCCAAATATGAATAAAAAAGTAGAGCAAAAGATAAAGAAAAATAGATTCGTTATAATGACAATCCCTATTGTGAATACTTTAAAATACATCCCCAGATATCTCCACAATAACCCATAAGCACACTTCCTTAAAAACTCTGCGATTTTTGATATGATTCGATTTTATGAGCCCAGTACATCGAAATTTCGTTAGCGAGAAAAATATTTTTTACTTATTAGCCAAGCACTGATATCAAGTTCTTACAATAATATAGTCAAACTTGGAATGTCAGAGTTTGACAGATATTAAAATTTTAACTCAATTCGTCACCCATTTTGTTTGTTTACGGTGGATTTACGATACCACTTTCATATAAGAGATTTAAAAGAAGCAATCGTAAGAAGTGTCAAATTACAACGAGTAAGAAATCCATTTTCGTTTCTTCACTGGATGCATTACTTATCAACATAACGTAAGACTTGAAAAAAGAGGCAGTAAAAATTGTTATTATTTAGCAATTCCCCCTTTGACAAACTGGCGATATTCTTGTTTGTACACAGTCAATCAGTCGAGAAATAATAAATTTAAAGAACGCTTGCTTGATGAACTGTAGCAATTCTGTGCTCTTAATATACGAAGAACTATTCAAATACTAACTCGAGGGCCTAGAAAATTACGTTTACTGATCAAACTTCTCCTTTCCGACCATTGCCATTTAAAAATAAGAAGTGGTAAGTGAGTGAGGTAAAATTTGTACCGTGGACGAGTAGGCACGTCATCCGCAGCTCCTGAACTGCAGCACACTGTCAACCACACCTGGTGCGGTTTTCGGCATACTTGAGCAGCTCCGGTTTTGAGTACGCGTAGCCAATGATCTTACAAAATCATCAGAAATATAATCAAAACAACACTCCTGGCCTCGGCCGGGCACAACATGAACCATGTATAAATGCTGCACTTGAGCGCACGCAAATTTCTCCTTTTGACATTTTTCACATGTCAGTCAACGATTCACAGATGCATGATCAATTTTTTAGTGTGAACAATGATCAACAAGCATTTTGGGTGCTGAATTTGCAAGGTTAGAAACAAAACAAATTGATTTGACATTTATAGGTATAGATTACAAATAGTAAAAGACATTAGCCCAAACACGGAGCCTTGGGGAACTCCAAAATAGGAAACGGCACGTTTGTAATATATCGGTACCAGAAATAGATGCTTTTAAGTAAGAATAGTGAATACTATAAATAACAAAAAAAAAACGGAACCAAATATCAAACGAGGTATTTTTCAGCATATAGCTCCAGCAGTAGTTCAGTGACGAGTTGTGGCTTGTAGCTAATTTCGCATAGATGAGGGATGGAATAAAAAGATTCCAGGAGAAATTTTAGGAGAAATTCGGGACTCAATACAACATCAGCTTAAGACGATAACTACGAAAAGTGGTTTTATTTATGACTTTCCGCTGTGCCAATCAGGTCACAGTTTCAGAAAGCTGAGCTCATTTGCCCTCTGTGTAAGAATGGCAGAGATACAGAAGAAACTGCAAAATATGGTCACTTGAAAAATCAAAAGAGATACAGAGGGCACAGCTCAACGAATTGTCACTCTTCTCAAGGACAGAATGGAACTCTGACTAACACGTGTAACTGAGAGTAATTATTAGGAAACAGAACCCTAAGCCTCTTGCAACTAAAACAACACTCTTCAAACCATTATTTTGAAATAATAAAAACCGAAGATTCTAGCCCTGGAGCGGTACCTTGAGGACTCCCAAATAGCATACGAATCTCCATAAGGTAACGACCAACAAGAAATGGTGAAAAAAGGTAATGTCTCGATACTCAAATGTATTATACAATAAGCTAAATTGGACAAAAATAGGATCTATTTTGAGATGGTCAAGATGCTTGTTTTTTAGTAAAACCAGTTAGAATAATGATATATTTTGACATTTGCGCACACAACTGAACATGTCTTGAGCCGATATGCACATTCCAGCCCAAGAAAACATGTTGAGCTTTAAGTAACTCCTCTAATGGCGATAGTGATTAGTATCGAAGGCAAATCAAGAAAATGGACCTTCTGCTTTGCACAAGTCAACACATATCGATTTAACTTCAGGCTACGTTATCTATAAATGTGATGTTTAGGTATGCGAAAGGACATATTGCGTGATAGCAAATGTTTGCTTAAACAGTGTATGTTAAAAGATAAGGTGATATGATTGATTTGTACAAAGCATGAGGCATATTAAGAGGGAAAGCATTCTAACTTTGGCAAGCAGATATACATGGTTTTATCAAAAATATCATAAATATTCTGGAAAAAATAACTTTTTAAATATATTCCAACCACCAAAAAACAAAAATGAGAAAATAAAAAATATGTTGACATTATATTAAACTAAAGTAAGCTGATACCTTCATATGAAGCATGTTCGATGGAATGATTATTATTTTTGTTTTGGGGTAAGAAAAATATGGAACTTGTGTTACTTACTTAGTCATAACTACTGTGTTTACACCGCCCTTTTTCTGGTCTAGTTGGGCTATAATAGCGGGCTGGAACAAAAAAAACTATTAGTTTTTCAATTCATTAGGATATTACTATACATTCATACAAAGAACGGTCTCAAAATCAATTTTATAAAATATTCGAGATGTCGACAATAAGACAATCAAAATCTTGGTAACCATTAATAGAATTGCCAAAACCTATATGAAATTATATGAAAGTTTTGATAAAATTACTTTGTTCTTAATATTTCAATAATTTATTTTAATCTTCATAAGATACTTTACTGGAATATTCCAAAAAATAATCATATGTATTTCGGAGGAATACCACCGTCTTGTTTTTGAAACATAGGGCTGGAAAGTTGATAAAGCCGTGCTCTTCCCTCATATTGAAGTTTCTCATTATTTCAGTGTATAAAAAATAATTCGAATATAGTCATCTACTGTTTTTGGAATATCTGACAGGGAATCTACGGTTTCTCATTTTGGAAAGAAAGTACAGTTTTCGTTTCGTGTGATTCGAATTGCAATAAGTGAGAAACTTAACTAATTAATTACAATGCTAGCCTACCTTTGGCAAGGAACTCAACCACTTACTGAACTACATAGTCTAAGATTTTCTGATTTATGTAAGAGATAAACAAGTGATAACCAACTTAAGGGTTATGAATGAGGATTCAATGATTCGCGACACTTGATAATAAACTCAAGTTTTAACGTCAGCTATCGGATCGATTATTTCTTTTAATCAGGCAATCATGTACATTGTGCGCATCATGCATCTAAGAGAGTAGAAAAGACATATTTCTGATTTCAAGTGCTGATTACTGATATCACTAGATATAATTGTTATTTCATTACAACTACATCAGATTTACCTTAGATATGATCTAAAATATATTATGAAATGCTCATCGGATAGAAGTAAAAACTAACAGGTAGTATATTTTTATCCACGCTATATCAGTTTATCTAATGTACATACATCGGGGTCAATTTACCAATCAAAAACCAAAGGAAACATCAATTCAAAATCACAGCGTGCGCTTCGTTAGTTGTATTATTTGCGAAACAAATTAACACAATGTTCGCGTGTAAACAATGGGGTCTGGCGCTAATGTCGAACAACCAAATGCTCGAGTTGCACTCGGTAGAATATCAGTTGACTTGGACGTAAAATATTGTGTTATGTGGCAATTTTTTACTTATCGTGGTTTTTAGATGGATCAAAAGGAATGTGTCTTTTAGTCGAACTAAAGGGCTAAATCAATAAATCTTCAAAACTACTGAACTGAGTAGATTAATTTTATATCATTATAAAGGCAATTGAAAGACCTTTAAAATAAGGTATCACTCGACCCCCCTTTCCATTTAAGATTTTAGGGTTGGTGTCACCCCCGGCCAGGGGGCTGCACGTGTTAACGTGATTTTTTGCCAAACTTGTGTCCCCCTCGAAAACAAAATCGACGGGTCTGAGCGTTTTTCAAAAAAAAAACTGAGCTGCCAGTAAATACGTCTGTTTCGTTTTCGATGCGCCACCCTGTATACCTAGGGCTGGCTATTCGTCCGGGATTCCCTGGATTTGTCCGGACGGGGTTTTTAAAAAGCGTCTTGTGTCAGTGGTGTCAGGGGAATCTTGCAAAATGTAAGATGTATGAACAAAAAAGGTGTTTTGTTGTACACCACAGTACAACCACTCGCATCACCCCTATACATCGACCCGCATCACCCTGTACAAGAACATTCGCGCCGCCCTGTGCAACCAGCCAGGCGACGCCATCGCAGTGCGCCAATGCATACAAACAATCTGGTACAACAATTTCGTTTCATCCTGCCTAGATCCAACTAAGTGGAGAAGTGAATCTGTGGTGAATTGTTAGCACATTCACATCTCAGCATTTAATACGGTCAGTCAGCTCTTGTATCCGGAAATCGATCACGCATTCTCAATTCTGGGACACTGCACATAATTCGATAGGATAGTTTAGTTAAGTATTGAGTTGTAATTTATGATAACTAGTTTAGTGGTTAAATGAATTTATTCATTAAAAGAAAATCGATAAATATTTTGTGCCAAAACTTTTATTATATGTACATACGTTAATTTTTAAGTTATCAGGTAAGTTAATTTTGTGTTTATATGTATATGAGGAGTAGGGTATGTAGATTATGAGCTCAATTACAGCTATTTTTTCAGAAATTCTATTCGACCTCTGTTCCATATATACAGTAATGGACAAGAGTATATAGACATATTAATATTGTGCTCTATTTCTTTTTTAACTTGTTTTATTAATACACCAACCTGTATACATAATTTGTTATAGCATAGTACTCACTTATACATAAATAAATTCGTTAGACTCCCTTCAATAAAAAATTAATTGAAAAAACTATGAAGGACAAAAATATATAGACAAAGCAAAACAATTATAGAAAAAAGAAGCAAAGTTCATTGAATAATTATAGAAAACCAACCATGTTTGTGTTAATATTTTGTAGCATAACCATTATTATCAATCACCGCCTGGCATCGTCTCGGCATAGATTGTAGAAGTTTCTTGATATAAGATGCATCAATCTGTCTCCACTTTTGCTCTAAGCGGCAAAAAGTTGCTTGCTTATCTAAGTATTCCCATAGATTTTCAATAGGGTTTATATGGGGAGACTGTGAAGGCCATTTGAGAACTGGTATTTTTTCATCCAGAAAGAATTTTTTTGCGAGATTTGTAGTGTGCTTCAGGTCATTATCTTGCTGGAAGATTGATCTTAAGGGCATATTGTCTTCCATATAGGGTAACATGACATGCTTTAGTATCTCTGTGTATACAAACTTATCCATAATGCCCATCTATTCTATGTAAAGGTCCCATCCCAAACCCCGAAAAGCACCCCCAAACCATAACAGACCCACCTCCATGTTTGACAGTGGGCAAAGTGTACTTGGCGTTCAATCTTTGTCCACTAGGACGTCTAACGTAATGAACACCATCCGATCCAAACATAACTTGGATTCGTCACTGAAACATACCCTCTTCCAGTCACAGATGCTCCAATCAAGATGCAACCGTGCAAATTGTAATCGGTCCTTACGGTTTCAAATCATTTAAGCTTCTACTTTCGTAGAAACACTGACAATTCCTTTTGTCTCGATTTCGGCTTTTATTTGTCTTGGGATTTTAAACGGATCTTTGGACGAAATTACTTTTAATAATCTAACTAATCCAGCATTTAGTTTTCTAGGCCGACTACTCCTCTTAGAGGCTTCCAAGATACCTTTTTGTTTATATTTGTTCAATATTGCCCAAACTGCTTTACGCTTCAGCTAAATTTTTTTGGCAATGTCGACTTGACGTTGACCATCTTTGTATAACTCAATGATCTTAGTTTTCACATCGAAAGAAATTTCTGGACCACGCGGCATGGTCTTAAAATCACTCAACTTATTCCACAATACTTGATGAACACGAACTGCTGCTCCTCTTCTGACACGAAACTGTACTAAACTAATGTTGAAAGGAATTTGTCTACATATTTTTGTCCCTCATAAAAAACTGCTTATATTCCGACTTGTATTGTGTTCATTGCGGATAATGTAAAAACAAGGAATTTAGTTTTTCTACTACGCATTTGTTTATGGAACAATGAAGTATGAATTCGTTTTCTAAAGGTATTTAGGTAAATATTCATATTCGTCTATATACTTTTGTCCATTACTGTAGGTATTCCTGATAATTTTTCAAATCATATCTGTTGCCGAAAAGAAAAGTGTTCCTAGTTATTTCAGTTACCAGATTAACTCAGATCGAGAATAGTATAATTTTATTAGTAATGCTTATCGCTAACAAGCTGTTTAACAAATGACAACGGTGTTTTTGTTTATTATAAAAAAAGTTTCTGGAGTGTCCGGGAAAACCCAAACGCCGGGAGTTTTCGAAGCTTTTGTCCGGCGTCTGGAATGGATGGCAGTCCTAAATATACCCATATAGGTATATGGCTGGATTGATGATTTGCGTCTAAGCTAGGTGATCGTTTGATTTCATCAGCAAAGCACGCGTCGACAAATATTTTGGAACAAGTCCAGCATTTTAGGACCCAAGACAGAAGTTAGATTTACATCGAGCGTGGCTTTGCGGCGACATTCCCGAGGGATATTTATAAACTTGGTAGAAGGCAATAACATTGCAATTGCGCATGAAAAAAGCGACGATATTGTACAGGGAGGCCAAAATCAGCTATTGAGGCAAGAGAATAGAGTGACTGGCAGTTGGAGCTACTTACTCCTATATAGTAGTATTTCCGAAATGAAATGGGACTACAGACATCTTTGCAACTATTGATTAGAAGTTTTATGAGAAGGTGGGCTTACATTTGTTACTGGTTCTCAAGCTGTCGTATTTTATCGCAACTTTAGGAAGGCCGTCGTATTCCATTATAAATCACCGCTAGTGCCTCGCTTCTCCCATACTATGAAAAAGTATTTTGAAATATGCAAATATCATTCTAGAATATTTAGACCCACCGTCGTATTTAACTTCTTAAAACAAAACTTTTTTACTCTCGTAACCTCCGTTTACAGGAGGGTACACTTAGTAACTGCTTTCCAAACGATTGAGGTAAGAGGAGCGAGTTCCATCCCACTTCTGATGTGACTGACCGAAAATACGCGAATAATTCAATTCATTAGATTGATGGAAGTATTATGGAATATCATACTTTGTGCAATAAAATGCAATTCCCAATAATAAGCTGGGGAACAATCTTCTGCGACTCAGTACAATAAAACGATTACAAAATAACATAAAACTTTCTTGCTGTTTCGACAATTACCAAATAAGCTATACGAGTTTCTAAAATGCACACTTCAGCACCATTTCACAGCGATCGGAATGCTTTGTGTATTGGAAACATCTACAGGTCAGTTACCTCAAAGGACAAACTAACGCGCATTTCTGTGCATTCTATAATCTGTATTCACCAAGTGTGTAGTTTTGCAATGCATTAGAACAGGTCTGGATCTAGGAGATGAACATTATGTGGAAAAAGG